GAAGTTTTACGTCAACTACTAGATATGGGGTCAGGGAGCTCAATTGTGGATTCGAATCAGTGTCAAAGCGTCAGAGTATGTGAAGTTGAGAGAGCAGGTGAACATGTGTTGAAAATCTCAGGAGCATTGTACTGAATTTTTCAGAGGAAGAACTTAGGGATTTCTAGAGGACATTTACCCAAAAGGCGGAATAAGCTGAAAAGTGTCATTTAATAACTCTGTATAATATTAAAATGGACGCAAAACTAGGGGCCAATATGGTGTATGATGATGGAAGACAGCATTTTGTTATTTTTCACAGAAGGGCATTCACGATTCGACAGGGGAAAAGGACCTTACAAATCATAAAGAAGATATAGTTCCTACTTGGCTGTACGTCTCGTCATTATGTATTCCTTAATCGCCGACCGCTTCTGGGCGATAGCAGTGTTTTATAGATCCTACAGTCACATATAAACTTATTTGGAAAGATTTACTTTACATTCGGCGTGGATTTGTTGGCGTGCTTATTAAATACAAAACAATCTTCCCCATAGTTAGATACATTCAGGAGAAAATAATTTATCATAATGTTATTACCACTTTCCAGTAGGCCCTTCTCAGAACAACCTACGCAGGTGCTCGCTATTTTAGTATCTTTTTGTACAGACTTGACTGCGAGAATACTTTAAACTGCTGTTTAGTCTTAAATGGTGTTGAAACTTTTAAAAAGCCATTAGAAGAATTACTGGGCGTAGAATGTTTAGGCTGCTAAACTGGGGTAGCTTAGTATTCACGGGTTACGTCTACAGTACCACAGCGATTTTAAACCTCATTTTTAATTGTTTAATTGAGTGTGGCACATTATAAACTGTAGTCTGTGAGCAAGCAATCATAAATTTCTTCTAGGATGAGTTGTCTGGAATATTTTGGACATGTTCCCACAAGAGGCCAGAGATTGGTCACAAGTTTGCAAACTTTCTTTGAGTTGCATGCATCGCAGGCTTTATTTGCACGATATCAGAGTAACTTTTTGTGACACTTTGATATGCAGCCAACAGCTGCAACGTTTTTGAGTCGTTGATAAGGCAGGTTAAACTATAAAGTGGGGGAGTTCTCTAAAAGAACAGTTTTCACCCGTATTAGTGAGCATTATTTTTGAACCTATTAAATTTAGTAAGCTGCCGAGTGTAACCGCTTTATAAGGGGCCATCGTGCTACTAACCCGGCCTAGGCTACCAAAGGAATTACTTGTGCACCTACAATCACGGGGTTCAGAATTTTGGCCATGTTTATCAATAACTATACAACAATTAGTAATAAAGAAACATCAACGGAAACACAACCAAGTGTTTCATAATTTATGAACTAGCCGATTTGAGGTGGGCGAATTAGAAGTGCAGGTCTTTTGCTCAAACAATGGTGTTCAGTTAATTTAGGCCGTCTGATCATTGCTTCACCACATTCACATGGCCCATATTTACAATACAAGAGAATTAAATACGGATATGTCACAGTTATGTCATACATATCAGTCACTCAACTATTACGAGTGGGTAAATAGGTTGCCGTCAAACAAACCTGTCACAATTTCGTCTCCATAAACTTGAATAGGTGAAAGTAAGGCGGTCATTTGCTGTTTGAAAATCCTCGGAAAGTTGGTTTTATGCGCTTTTGTACTTCGGGGATTTCTGTAGTCACGTTGTGTCTTATATTTGACTGTTTTTTCACAGCTGAAACATCTCTTCTAACCCTTGCCGTACGAGATGCTAAAATACCTCGCAGTAGCTTTAATCTTTGTAGTAAACAAAAAAACAATCAAAAAACAATAGTGCTATATAAGTCCATAATGGTTTGGCGAAATACATAATGTTCGAAGGGACCTTAACAGTAACAACAGTAATCACAAGACGAAAAGAGCAATCGGGTTCATACAACGAAACGAGCTAGGCTGCTTTGCACAACTGGATGCCTTCGTGCAATCTTCACACCAGCAGTCTTCCTTTCTATAATGGTGCTTAATAGAATTCTCACCACTATCCGTCTTCCTTGATGTCTCATGGGAGAGGTAGTCACACAAATCATCGAAAATAAAATGCCTGAAGGTCAAGTGGAGGGTGAGGATATACGCTGTGACGTGTTAAATTTTCCGCGCCTCAGATTTTCTCGTCTCTCATTGGCTGGAACAGTGGCGGTCAGTTTGACATTTGATTTTCCTTGGTAGGTGATGTGTGCAGCCTTGTATGCTTGCGTCATGCATTGTTTGTCAGCAGGTGTGATGAATGTAAATGTAAACTTTGACTAATCAAACGTGTTTTTTTCTTTTTTTGTGCATGTACAAGGCTTGGTTTGTCATACACTCCATTGTTTGGCCTGTCGGTTGCTTGCGATGTCAACGAACCCGTGGGTTCTTGTGCTTTTCTAGAATTTATTTTTTACGTGCGGTATATGTTGATGGATATTGATCAGTAATGTGTTTCAATATTTCTTTCTTTACTGAATTATCTTGAGATAGTTGTGACATAGATGGATGCTAATTGACAAAGCCTTTTATCATATCTTCGCCAAAGCAATTTTAAATGGGAAATTCATCAAAGTAGATATAATCACCAGGAAATGCAGTAACCTGTCTCATTCATCGCATGATCTCTTCCATGCGTTATGGAATATTTCAGTCATCACAGATGATAAAAGAAGTGTCTAACGTCCTCAAAACACACACCTAACTTATGTCTATAGGCTATTTCTCTTCCAAATGCACGATTCTCATAGAATAACTGGGATGACAACAGCCATTGCCTGCAGTCAATTTGCAACCTTCAGACCTAAAACAAATCACAAAAACAATGCCTGAATGCTCTAAAACGCAAATAATAGTCTTTTTATGCGAAATTTCTTCAAAGGGGATGACTTTTTTATTAATAATTCGTCTAGGCTATCATGACAATTTTACGCATTACTACGAACACAATACAGAAAAATATTGCTTTTTTCCTCTACAGAAGCCTAAAACTAGTCAAATATAATCTATTTTAACAAAACTGAGCGATTAGAAAGCGATAACCCATGCAATGCGCGAAAACACATCGTCATAGAATTTAGCCTCACTCCAAGTGGATTCATGGGCCTTTTGAATTTCCAGAATTAGTTGAAGTATGAACTTAAACAGTAATTAGCATCAAAAAGATGATAAACTTGACATTAATAAATGATTCACACCGACGTTTGGCTTAAAAATTCGCACCGAAAACTGTTAACAGGAAAGAAACAGTGAGCACTCCAAATATGGTTCAGGATGACTTGCGACAGTGAATGAAATTGACTTCATTGGAAAGAAAGGCTACAGCTTCATTGGCTTCCAATATATGTAATCGGAATTTATCTTCAGGTGTTGAGTGCTTTCACTGCATAAAAATTAACTCAATCGGAATCATGTTTCTAGTCATTAAATCATTAAACAAGTACACGGTTCCAATAAGATCCATTCGTAGAGGTTGTCATGACTAGAATGGTATATCATATAATGTATTCCGTAAGTTTATTAGTGTGAGACTTAGGACAGGTGAGTGTAGATTCAACCTACCGTGCATTTCCTCGATTTTCGACCTTTATCAGGTCTTTAGCTATAATACGACTTCAGACGTCAAATAAGTTGTTTGTTTTCGGCAAGAGAGGTCAATTCAAGCTGATAATAAAAGAAACTGTTGGCCGTAGCTGTCATCGCCTTTGAATTTCATTCTCCCATGTCACATGCTTTAGAAATACCATCCAAGTAATATTTAGCTCAACCAAAGACGAAGAACAATGCCGGATATATGTGAAATCTTTCGCCATTCTTTCATGCGATAATTCCATAATTGTAGTTAACACCATCGATTTATGGCAAACTAGACCACGGCACTGAGTGGAAATATAAAGGGAATCTTTCTTCAGCAGAATTATTTTTACCGTGTATCTACAATAAGTGGCAGCGAAAACGATGAACATACACACTGCACAGCGCAATTCACTACAAAATTATGTCATGGAGAGTTACGCTAATTTCTGCATATATCTCCCTTTAAGTTATTAGAGGGCATAAATCGCTCCGTCTATAATAAGAATCACTGTTAGGACAGTTTGTGTCTACATTAATTTTGGAAGTCGCAGCTGCGGTCTTACACCCTAGGACAGGACAGCTCTATGGACTGAAAGACGAACTAACGAAAGATATAGTTGTCCTCCAATATAAATGATCTTTTCGGGAATGAGGATTGGTAAAATAAAGGGAAAAGACAGCATGTCGTCATGTTACCTGGCGCATGAAAATACGGAGATATAGCCTTCGAACTCTCCACCAACACCAACAATACATGATTAGGTAACCATCATAGCACCGGTTACAGTGGTTTCCCTCCTGATCAAGACAAACCCGAAATGCCCTAAGTTAGTACTGATTAACAATTTTAGTTGTTAGTCTTAAAGGGGTGGTGTTTATGAAAATAGTTGCAATTACTCACATTTACCTAATTACTGTCTGGAAAGAAATAATGCAGTTACAGTTTTCATAATTATCCTTGAACAAACTATTCCAAACAAGTTCATAATACCAGCCATAATTATTTCATCTGGAGAATGTACTACTGAACCACCTTACTAATGTAGCAAAAATGCCAAATTAGAATTAACTTTTTAGGGGTATGGCTTGTAAAAAGAGCTGCAGTCAGATGTGATAACGCAGTTCTTTATAGACCTTGCTAAATAACATTCAATAAATTTGTTGAAATTTTAAATCATCCCTCAGCATGCAAAAAGAGATTGGGCACCACTAAAATGTCCAGTCTTCTCAGACAGTATATACCTGTTATCGTCTCTCAACATAGAAAGTGTGCAGCCGAAAGAAAACCCTAATTATTCCTTATGCCCTCGTAATTTTTATATTTATATAATTTTCATATTATAATTTTTTGTAATTTTATAACTACACACTGAAGATCACGATACTACAGCTACAATCAGGAAAGGGAAAGCTTAATTGGTGGGTGATTGACCTTGTCTTGTGGCCTTCCAAATAGCGCATCTTATGAATGGAAAACGTGATGGATAATATTTCTTGTCATCGTATTCATTTTTATGAATATCAGCCATCTCCATTTTTGTGCCTCGCTAGAAACGAATCTGGCTTAATTGCTGCTGGCAGAGAGGATGGTTCCGTTGATGTGTATGATGAAAACCGCGATTTTTTCATGGTTGCACATTTCCCCTGCGGAGTGTGTTGTTCTGTAGAATCATTGGTATGGATACAATCCAGATTATTCTGCACAGGGGCACTAGGTCGTCTTGTAGAGCTTGATATGCAGACTTCAAATATAAAAAGTTCTTGTTTGTTGGTAGGAAGTCCTGCTGCTCGATGTCTGGCTGTATTTGAAGATCAGATAATTGTAGGTGTTGCATATTTTGGCTAATTTTTTATTTAGGTAGGCAACGACGAGGGGTTTATAACATTCTTTTCGGTTGAAGGTTCCGAACCAGCCCCGATCTTCACCATTCCAAAGCTTCCAGGTATGACCACACCGTTCAATAACATTTCAAGGTAAAATATTATCTCTTGCTTGCGCTGGTAAAAAGAAAGCTATTTTGGCAACTGGGACAAGCACGGGTTCTCTTCTGCTTATATCCATCCGAGATAAAGTTTCTAAACTGAGATTCACTTTGACGGAATCGTCTAAGTCTTGTTTTATTTGGACTTTGCTGTTTGCTCGGTAAGTTGTGACTGCTTTTGCGTATTCTCCCACTTGATTTAGGGGATTAGGGGGTTTGCGCATATGACTTTTTTGGCATATAGGTCTAATATAGTTAATATTATACGTTCAGACTGTATTTGTGTATGCTCTAAGAAATCAGGTGTTGTTGTGAAGATTCAAATATCTTCCGAAAGGCTTTCAAGATGTCCTAGAATTTCGTGATGACAAAATACTCCACCTGATTTGCCAATATGATTTCGAAGCTCTAATTTGTGTATAATCGGCATGTATTGCTTGGTGCACGTGAAATGTAATGGAAATATAGGTGATATATATATATATATATAATACCAGTTGATTTATACAAAACATACTTGTGATATACTTCAAAAAAGAGTCAGAGTGAATCAAACAGCACATAAGAAGAAAAAGAAGAATATTTTCTTATGGAATACTGAAAAATGGCCGATATTCGTTGTCATATGTAGTTCTTTAGCCTTTTGGATCTTTGACGCTGTCATTCAAAAATAAAAACATGTGAAGTGATCCTTAAACCATCCTTATACAAGTCACTTAAAAGATTGATTCGCAAAACGTGTTAGGTAATCATGCTTCTTTTCATTACAATAATCAATGGCTTAGCTTCCTTTCCGTTAGTACTTCGAATTAGCCTCCACTTTATGAACAGCTGAGAAATGTCATCCACCCATCTACCCAAGCTTACCATAACGCTAAATTAAATCTCACTAATTTGAAATAATTCTCACGTTCTATAGTCAGTAACTTCTGAATCTGTCCTGAAATGGATTCTTTAATGGCACAGAGTAGAACTCAGTGCTGGTTTTCAGCATGACTGGCACTAATTCAGCACCGTGTTCTTTTTCTAGGCATTTTCAAGAGTAGATCAGAACCTACTGGGTTTGCTTATCAGCGTTGTTTCAGCCATCACAGGACATATTAAGCGCGGACTAGCGTTACTTCAGAACGAAAAGACTCAATTCAGCACCCAGCTCTCTTTTTAAGCATGACCAGCGTTATTTCAGAACATAGTGTGTAGATAAAATCTTCATTTACCATAAAAAGGCATTATCGAAGAATAGGTTTGAATAAGTTTAGAATTGTTGTAAGCTTGGGTACTTCTGTTAATCAACAACTCTTGTCTGCCCTTCTGACAGATTATTTTAATATTTTTCGGGTAATGGCAGCCTAACTCATTTTCGGCTTCAAATGCATAATTATTTCTCTACTAAGAGTAGTTGCCAAGTAATGAATAATGAACTTGCAAGGTTATGTAATAAACAGCAAGCCACATTGGTTATTATACTACTTTATTTATTCAAACCTCGATAACTGACATTTTCATAACCCTGACTAGGTGACCGAGATTCATAAACGTCGTGACTTAAAATAATTTAAGTCTGATGTCATCATGGTATGGTGTAGATCGCAGAATTACTGTCGAAGGTCAACAGTCGGTAGTCTGATCGACCAATTTAATATCGTTGAGTTTTACACAATAGTTGGTGACTTCAGTGATCCAGGAAGTAAACTGAACCAAACAAAAACGATCTTAACGAAGTAGTTAATCGTGTGTCTCCTTTTGATGAAGACACAACAGTGGTAAAAGCTCAAAGCATCTAGTGCAAAGTAACTTGAATGATGTATTCAAACCAAGGTTAGCTTATGAATTCCTAAAGGCAAGCAAAACAATCTAAGTTGGATATGAATTCTTCAGATGGTGATTATGATGAGTGGGGATTGTGGGTTTTGTAGTTAGGTGATGGCCGTCATTTTTATTATAACTGTAGAATTTTCACAGTCAGTGGGAAATTCGGAGAACGGGTACAATTTATATAGTATCAGCCTTTCATCCAAATAGAAAATGTTGGTTCATTTAGTTTTAATTTTTTTTCCTGTACGATTTTGTACAGACAAATGATAACCATTTCAGGTTACACCAGTATACATTATCTAGTTTTCGCCATATCAATGAATTTTTAATTGTTTAATTTCATTTCCAGTGGTCTACTGTTTTCTGGAGATAGTAGAGGCGTAGTGAGTATTTGGGATATATCTGTTGGCGGTCAACTTTTCAGTTTTTCTTGCCACCACGCGGATGTTCTCACTTTGGCCTCCAACCCTGATGGCTCCATTATTTTTAGTGGTGGAGCAGATGCCATTATAAGGAGATTTGAATATACTATATCTGAAAATGGAGAAGGTATGTTACTTATTAGCAAATTTTGAATTAATATGGATTGTTTGACAGTCGCTAAATATGGTACTTCCTTAAGCTATTTTTGTGAATTTGTAAATTAAGAAAGTTCTATTTTGGTTGTATCATTTTCATTCGTAGAAGTCAGGTATGAGTCGAACTTTTACGCGAAGGTTAGGGATTCTTCGACTGATGGTATTGTAGTATGAAAATGAAATGAATTGAACTCGCAACGTGGAACTTTGCAAAAAGTGCAGCAGTTCAAGTTACCACAGTTCATGAAACACAAACGATAGGGATAAAATATACTACTAAACTAATGTTTGAAGAAAAAATAACTAGTAGGGAATGATAAGAAGGGGGAGATCACAAAAAGTGATTGCATTTGCCCCAATGAAAACGATTCTAAGCTATGTCACCAACAGTGTCCAGTTATTGGTTCTTAGCCTTTAGGACCCTGTCGGGTTGTCTACACCTCCCCATGTGTATCAAACCAACAATCAAAAACTCCATGGGTTGCAGCAGGTCTCGATTTGACTGTCATTAACTCTTTCCAAAACCAATCATGTGTCACTTAACATTGTTCGGAGGTGATGGCATGTGTAACACGTGTTGTAACCATTTCAGTCGACGAAGCTTTGCAACCTCATGGGTTGTCTTCCCCTGCCTACCTAACACCGTGTCGGTTGGGAAATTGCCTAGACAGTCGGTGTTTCTTAACTTTATACTGGACTTCGTCCTGTCCAAATGTTCAGCTCAGATCCATTTCGTAAAGGTATGTTAAGATGTGATAACCAAGAAAAACAAGCTTATGGTAATCTATTAATCCCCCTGCATATCTTAGTTTCGATTCTGAGGTGTAGGCTGCCTGTTCGAGTTGCCACGTTCCAAATACCACACAGAGGTAGACAAGAAGATGAGTGAAGAGAATCAATAGAGTTTTGACAAGTATAAGAGTGAAACAGAATGAGTAATGGTAGAAAGGAATATGAAAGATTACAGAGACTGCGCCATTGACAACGACTTTGAGCCATGTCACGTATTGTCTCCAGCCATTGATTCTTAGAGTCCCGAGGGCCCCAACCCGGAAGCCTGCATCTCCCTACCTGACTCAGTTTAACTGTCAGGGATTTCATGGATTGACTGATGCCATGTTTTTGTTTGGCCACCACTTACTCTTTTCCAACCTGCACCTATATCAGCTAGTAATGCCCGTCGAGAGGGGGAGGCGATGGTTAGGCATGCGCAGCATGTGACCTAGCGATCTCAATCTATGTAACTTTATAGCCTCGTCGATTGATTTTCCCTCTTTGCCCAACACTATACGCCTAACGTCGACATTACTTACCTTATTATACCACCTCCTAAAGTGAGAAAGAGATCGTAGACATCTATGATCAAAAACAGTCAACCTTTTCATGTCTTCAACCCGTATTGGCCATGTTTCAGAGCCGTAGAGAAGGACGGAGCGAACTGCTGGGCAGTACATACGTCCCTTGGTTGATAGTCGGATGTCACGCCTACGCCAGAGATGTAAGTTAGCGAAAGCAGCTCGAGCTTTTTGGATCCGTGCTGAGATTTCATCGCCAATCAGTCCGTTGGTGCTGATACAACTTCCCAAATAGGTGAAGTGGTCAACATGTTCTGTCATTTCACTCCCTATCACCAAGCTAGGAGTTAGCTTAGTCCAGTCCTGTAGCAGCATCCTATATTTTACAGGGGCGAACCGCATGCCAAACATACGAAGATTGCTGCTCAAGGTGTTCAGAAGACTCTGCATTTTGCCAGCGTCCTCCCCTAACAGGACTATGTCATCTGCGTATTCTAAGTCCATAAGACTATTCCCTGGTAACAAGTCGATTCCTAAGTCGTTAAGTTCAGTTAAGGATACTTCCATTAATAAATCTATAATGAAGTTAAACAGGAATGGGGAAAGTGGACATCCTTGACGGACACCACTGGTTGCTATCAATTCAGATGACAATTCCCCATAAGCCCTTACACGGCTACGTGAGTTTGAGTAGAGTGCCTTGATTAGTGCAATGTACTTTCATGGCACTCCCTTCATAGTCAAACATTGCCATAGTACCTTTCGATCCACGGAGTTGAAGGCCGCCTTCAAGTCAAGAAATATGGCAATTGTTGGATGCCGAAAAGTGTGTCTATGTTCTAGGATCTGTCGGAGAGTGAAGATATGATCTGTGCACCCTCTACCTGGCCTAAAGCCCGCTTGATTTTCCCTCGTTTGTTCCTCCCGAGTTCGGCTTAGTCTGTGCATGATTACTGAGCCTAGGATTTTAGAAACTATGTTCGTTAGGCTGATTATCACATGAGGACTTGTCTCCCTTCTTGAATATTGGTATAATAAGTGACTTACCCCAGTCTGATGGAACCGTCTCTGATTCCCAGACGTTACCTAGTAGTACCTTAGTTAATCTACATACTAGTATGTCACCCCCATATTTAAACACCTCCGGAATGATTCCGTCGGGTCCTGCCGCTTTGCCTCGTTTCAACATGTTTCTTAATCAAAGGTGACATGAAAAACAAGAATCCAACTGTGTATCCATTTCATATTAAAATCCAAATAAATAAAGTTGTTGTCTAGTAAAGTAAATTAACTGAATTTTCAACTTTTGGTTAGGAATTTCTGTTTCCAACTTAATAGGTACATATTTTATTAGGATCTTCTCCAGTATGTATTGCAAGGCCAGTGTTCTAGTTTGGCCTTAAACAGTCCCGAGCTTAGGATACGTTTAAACTAGAATTCATACTATCTGGAAGGTTGATTGTTAGGTCAAATCCTAGTACTAGTATTCATAATTTTGTATTTTGTTCTGTATATTTCCTTACTAATTACTTTTTGTTGCAATTGTTTTTGTCCCTAGGTCAGTGGCAATGTAGTGGTTTGATAAGGGGATGTAGACGTGATATTCATGGAATAGCATTTATTCCCGGTCATCATCACGATCCCAGTACAGATGATTCTATCTCAGATCATCGGTTTGAACCACATCGCCTCCTTGCTGTTGGACAAGATGCTCGTTTACAGGTGCTATCATGTGAATCAGTTGAAACCGGTGTTGGAGGTTTTGCTCGAGCTGAAAAAACTTTAGCTATAAACGTTGGGAGACCGCGTAAGCGACAGAAAGGTCATATTGCCTATACTGCTGCACTGCCATTTTGGCCTGCTTCTATTGCATCTACTCGCCCATTACCTGCACGTTTTATAACTCTAGCTGAAGAGTCGACACATGGGGCTTTTGGTGATCTGATAGGTGCTTCCCGTCATTTATGTCTTTTGCACTATAGAGACAAATTATGCTTAGTACGTCTTGGTCGACCAGATAAACCTAGTCGGAAGAATTCATTCCACAGATTTCATCCCCTTAGTTTGGGTCCCCTTCAAATCGTTGAAGTTCGTCCATCAAAAGGCATGGAATTTATTGAGTCTACTTTGTCTTCGTGTGGATGTTTTATCGCCTATAGTGACTTTGAACGAACTCGGCTGCTCAATTTGGATGTGGTAAGTTTGAAATGGCTTAAATTTCGAGTTATGATACTTGTTTAGACACTGAAAAATTGTGGGGACATACATAAATTATATCTTACATTTTTAGAAGTATTGAGAGTTATGTGTAATTTTGACTTAATTAAACAATATGTTTAAAAGAAAGCAGATATTCTATGTTCTCTAAAATCCTATTAAGTGTTACTACAGAGCCTACTTCATCGTTTGGCGCAACAGATTTTGACAGGTGATTTTGCCCTTTTCACGACAGGTTAATGAATTTCTCACCGTAGTCTTAACGTTCTGAATGATCATCCGGATGGGATCTTTCACATGGATTAACTTATCAAATGTAAGATAATGATTGCTAGAACTCAGCTAAGTTACGCGCATCTAAACCGGAGTCAAGAACAAAATTACTGAAGTTTATTCTAGGCAATACTCAAAATAAAATTATGATCCTTGTCAGTGGGGTTTAACAGCGTATTGCACAAAAAGATTGAAGAGGTTAGAGATTAATGCAACTAGTATAGCCATAGGTATAAGATATTCAAACCGTCCATGAAATTATTATAGATCCCGTATCTTCCAAGATTCAACTTGTACTTAGCTGTGAATAATCAATGGAAATCGTACCACAAACTCCCATTATAATCTTGATGGTTGTCAGTTGGATGCAATGTAACTATCTCACCGCTCTTTCACAAACTTCCCTATGGTGTGTTACGGATTTTCACTCATATCGTCATCCTCGCTAAATTTTCTCCCTTGCTAATTGCATGTTAACACAATATTCTATCTTTTGTCCCACAAACGGTAAACTGGTACAATTTTCTTGGTGGATAGTCGCATTTAACTAAGTGGAGGGTTAAATAACGGAGATATTCATACAACAAAGCTTGGAATGATAAAACTCTTATGTCAGTCAAATTCCTACTGAGCTTATCGTAGATTTCAGTTGTGTCATTTTAACGTAGAAGTGAAATATATATACCTTTGGAACTAGGTAGTTTTGAAAAATCAGTTTAATGGAACTATATGAGGCTTTACCAACTTATGTGGTGTTTTTCGAAACTATGGGTTGTACTACTAAAAAAATTATTTCTATTCTTCTACTTACTCAGTGAAATATACGGCTTCAAGCCAGAGCTTCGAGGTTTTGGTAGCAATGGTGTTTATTTTTACGGGCTAGGGTCTCTAGCCTTATGCCCAACCTCCCCTCTTTACCAATCTTAATACTGGTTTAGGGAGGTAAAGGAGTGCGTCGACTGGAGATCGAATCCCGGACCATATGCGTAATCGGTGACCATTCTACCGCTGTGTCACCGATGCACAACTAAAAATGACATTATTATTGTTTCCTTTAATTCCTAGAGGAACATAGGGCTTCAGCCGTGCGTCTCCATTGCGTTCTGCTAGAGTCTTCACCTGGCTCCAAGTCTGCCCACACGCTTTCATCTCCTCTTCACATGGCCTCTTCCAAGTCACCCTTGCACTGGCGACCAACTCGCCGCTTCCCTTTCGGGTTCCACTCGAGCAATGGCTTGTCTACTGATGTCACTTGATGGTTTCCTCAGAGTATGGCCAATCCATCTCCATTTCTTTCTGCCTGTTTGTTTCACAATCGGTTCCTGGTTGGTTCGCTCATTGCCAGAGATCTCTGTTGCTGATCTTTTCTGGCCGGCCATCTGATCTTGATTAGTATTGAGCGAAGACAACTGTTAATGAAGGTCTGTAGTTTGTTTGAGATGGTCTTTATGACGCGCTGGCCAAGTCTCTGATCCGTATAGTGAGTAGCACTGACTTCACATTGGAGTTGAAAATCCGGATCTTATTTTTTAGACTGAATGCTGCTGATCTCCACACAGACTTGAGAGTAGTGAAAGCTTGTCTTGCTTTTCCGATTCTTGCTTTGATATCCTCATCAGTTCCGTCCGCCTGTAGTTGAAACGATGCTTCCCAGGTAGGTAAAGGAGGTTGTTTCTTTCAGGTTCCTTCCATTTATGCTGATTGTTGTCTGTTGTTGTTCTTGTCCAAGAATCTTCATTACTTCTGTTTTCTCTATGTTCACCTGGAGCTCTATCTTTGCTGCTTCTTCTGCCAACTTGTTGCTTTTCGCTTGCATATCTTCCAGTTTGTGGAAAATGAGACGTGTATACCACATCGGCGAAGTCCAGATCCTCAAAGTATTTTGTGTGAGTCCATTTTATGCCTGTTTCCTCGCTGCCTGGCCCGCTGTTTGTCGCATTATCCAATCTACTGCAATCAGGAAAATCATTGGTGATAGTAGGCAGCCAGCTTGTCTTACTCCTGTCCTCACTTCGAAGGATTCCGTAAGTTTCCCGTTGTGGACTACTTGGCATTCAGCATTGTCGTACAGCTGTTGGATGAGATGTATAATTGTTGGTGGCAGTCTGTAGTAGCGAAGTAGTTGCCAAAGCACCTTTCGATGGACGCTGTCGAAGGCCTTTTCAAAGTCGATGAAGTTGAGATAGAGAGGTGACTGCCATTCCAAGATTTGTTCAACGATGATCCGTAATGTGGCGATTTGATCGATGCATGACTTGTTTCTCCTGAATCCAGCCTGTTCCGGTCGAAGTTTTTTATCCAGGGCTTGTTTGATTCTCTCCAGGATGATGCGGCTTAGTATTTTGCTTGGGATGGACAGGAGCATAATTCCGCGCCAGTTCTTGCATTGACTTAAGTCTCCTTTCTTTGGTAGTTTGAATAAGTATCCTTTCTTCCAATCCTCGGGTACTTTGCCTTCTTTCCACACCTTCTCCAGTAGTGGCGTCATCAAGTCCGCTGTTGTCTCTAGGTCCATTTTCAATGCTTCTGCTGGGATTCCATCTGGTTCTGCTGCTTTTCCAGCTTTTAGCATCTTGATTGCCTTCAGGATTTCTGATTTTGTCATAAGTTAATGTAACTTGATTGCTTGTGACATTTTAAATGACACATAATGGATTTGAATTTGATTAAAAAATGAATTTCATCGAGGTTGTTAATATCCCTTGCTGGTCAATCATCAACAAGTAAGGAATGCACATCTGGTTCATCTCGTCACCTGGTTTCAACTAACATTAATAAATGAAAAATAAACAACGCATATTTTTTTATTCATAACTTACTACTGATAATAATAATAGTTGTCTTATTTTATCACTGTGTGGTTTTTATTTAAAAGATTTCTAAATCTCTATTGTTTCTATCATCATCACCTCAAAATCATGTAGGCGTATAAAAACAAGCGTGGCAAGTTTTGTATATCCAAATCAAAAGTCAAACCAGTTGAATGGCAGACTAGTTTGCAGAATTCAACTACTGTCCGTGATAAACTTCGTGGTAAACGGATGCGTTCCGATAGCTATGGCAAATCATCATCAAACACTTCATCTTCAGAAACTGAAACAGATACAGAGGAAGTTTTAAATGATGATGACATCTTGAGTTACTTCACCATGGATAAGTCATTTCATTCGTCTACTGGAAAGGAACAAGCTGTACTGTCTGCTGATGATTCATGTGACCACTTTTCCTCTTCAGAGCAAAACAAAGCTGTTGGTGTAGCTCTTCCGTCTTCCTGTTTGATGACATTTACTCCGAATTCAGAGCTTTTACTACTAGTTACTCAAAAAAGTGGAAAATTCATGTGTATTTCTGTAGAGAATGGCAGTATCCTGTGGGAACGCAATGTTGATCAAGGTATGTATACCAGACTTAATGTATCATTGATTTAACACAACTAATAACTTTTATACCCAGAGTAAAAAGACTGTCTTACTGTAAATTTTTTCCCCTTAAAACTATACTTGCCTCAGTACGTAATACAATGGTAAGTATTCGCAGTCTGCATTTCTGATATTCTAATAATTTTGCTACTGTTCGAGATTATTTTCTACAGAATTTGTGTTTTTTATGTTTGTCTTGGTGTCATATTCAACTCTGTCTAACGGAAGCAGTAAATGTATGTAACACTTGTCTCGAACTGCATGATTCAGTCCTTTTTTCCTAATATTTCTATCGGTATTGGTTTGGGTTCCTTAACCTTCGAACATTGTATTGATTACTGATAACCTCCTTTTGGATTACTGGTGTGTTGTACTGAATGCAGGTCACGACTAATCCGCTTTTCTTCAGTATTTAGACTGGTCCTCGAAATATTTTCAAGAATGATTGATTTTTCTTGCCTTCTATAGAGATGATAAATTTCTTATGGTGACCTTTAAATTGTACACTTAGACTGATGTAAGTTTCTAATCGTTTCTCTCCTTTATTCTTATTTTACCGTTTTCATAGTAGAATATTCAAATTATAAGATTTGTGGGGAATTCGGATTAATTGCAATTGTTGGATTTTCGTCACAAACCATCAACTGTCCAGTACTCTCCCTGGTTTTCAATGATCTCTCTAACCGATGTTGGTTCTTCACGAGAATCTAACAGTTTTGAAATGAATCCGAATTTCGCACAAATCTTGTATTTTGAGTACCAGTAGTCAATTCACTGATGTCTACTGAATGAACTTCCTGAAGTTGCAGTGGGAAATTGTGACCAATGGGGTCCATCATTTCAAGGTGAAGTAGATGTTCATCGAAGGCGTTGGTGAAGGAAGCGCTTTATCACGAGTTGATAAAGTTGGAATTCCGAGGTCATTAAATTCCAGCCGGAGTGACTGAACGGTTAGCGAGCTTGCGCTCGTAACCTGAAGGTCCCGGGTTCGATCTCTGCAGGTGTCGTGGTGCACACTGATGAAGAGTCCTGGAATAGGACAAAACAGCTGTCCAATGCTCCCTGATTTTCAGTGATCTCTCCAACTGATGTTGTTTCGTGACGAAAATCTAACACTAGAAGAATATTCGTTGGATTCGTTTTCAGGATGGCCACTTCAATAATTTTTCTCCTTATTTCTTTGTGTTCGACAATCAGCATTGCTGGGAAGCATCGAAAACTTTTTTGCATATGAGCTGTTATTTTCTTGACATTGGAACTGAAGTTAATCGCTTTTTACTGTTGTCTTTGTCCTTAATCTACAGAAGCTATCTAGATTTGCCCCTACTGATTACGTGTTTGCCTGAATGTTATACTTCAAAGAATTCCTATGCGTACTTTAAAATAATATATTTTCTGGTTTCAAAGTTTTCCTTACCAAGGTCTCTGTCAGTTTTGATGTTGGGATGCATGGTTTTATATAATGGCATTTTGCTGCCCTATCTCCATGTGTTATGTCATGGGGTGGTCATGTTGTCATTCCTTGATATTCCTAGCAATTTATTTAATCTTTCTTTACACATTATGTGAGCTGAAAAATATGTTTGGAATTGCTTTTGTTGGTGAAATGCACTTATCCTTTTGCCATTATTGTCGTCCGTCCACATTCTTATAGGTTGCCTTTTGATATAGCTCTTCGTCTGTTAAGTTACTAAAAGTTCGATCAGGCGTTTAGTCAACATGCAATTCGGAGAGTGACTCTACTGAAGCACTATGTCAAAGTGAACCTTTTTCGTCTTCAGTTTTTCTGTACTTCCATGTGTCTGTTGTTCATTTGGCCATTGTTATGAAATTCCCCTCAATTGCTGTTTTGGTATAGAATCTGACTTGAATGAGTTGATTTCTGTTAGAATTATGTTTATATTTTCCAGCTTTCCCGTTTATCGGTACTATTACACCTAGGACTGCCAAGTTCTTGTGACTATTAGCTGATGCGAATTTTACATCTCTTTAGATATTAATTAAACTTTAAGGCTGTTTTATTCCGTATTTTTAATGATCATTGGATTATCTTCTGTAAATTAAACCTATAATTCTCGGTTGCTAACAACTTGGTACTGCCGACAGTGGGTCTTCCTCTTTAAATGCCTTTATATGACCACTTATTCATAGTTTCTACTAGAGAAGTCCTACTCGCTGCCTTTACGCGGCGGAAGTGTTCCCAACTAAAATGAATGTCTGGCGCTTACAACCGGGTTGGCGATCAGGCCTACATATCTACCTAGGGGAGCTGGAAGACTTTAACTCCAAACATACAGTGCACATCGGTTCCAGAATCCGAACAGATCAACTGGCGTTTGGGTCACCGGAAACCTTGTAGACAGAGCTCTTGACTCTACAATACTACCTTATGGACCAGACTTCGAGTCAAAGGCTCGCGGGGGGTGTGGCCTTTTAAAACCACCACCTGCTTTGCTTTGGGCTTTCAGACAGTATCTCAGCAGTCTCACAAACTACGAGACAACAATTTGTGTGGCACATCTCTTGGTACCCATAGTATATGTCAAGTTTTTCTCCTAATAAATAAAAATAAATTAATGATTGTTGTTGTTGTACTAGTGCTTTGAAGTTTAGTGTTCCAGAGGCGTTAATTTTGTATGCATAGGTAGTTATTTCTGGAGCTGTATCCAGATAGAAATGGATATGGTGATCAATTCCATTAAATCTATAGTCTTTCTCGAAGCTTTCTGCGTGTATACCAAGATCGTCTAGCATTTTGTAGCATAACTTGTATGTTTTTTGTCTTCCATTTTCCCCTTATGAAGGCAATTTGTTTTGTGAGTATATATTTATAAATATTTATTTACCATTTTAGATAATTCAACTGTTCGAGCTCATCGAATTTCTATTTCAAAATTTGCCACGGAAATTGGTTACTTAGTAGCACTTGGTTGCTCTGATGGACGTGTACGCTTATACGACTCGTTAACTGGCTCTGTGATATTCATTTGTTCATGCGTGGATTCTGTTTCTGGACATTCACCTTTACCAGTATCGATTGTATTTCCATCTATTAATGAACAACATTCAGTAACTGACAATCAAACCGCATTGATGTCTAAGCTGAAGTTTTCTGTTTTGTATACAAACAGTCAATTAAGAGAATGGACTATAACTATTAAACAGACTGAGAATACAACAGAATCAGCTGATTCTGACCACTCATCAGTTCCTGCATTATCAACAAGACAGATTAATGTTGAACTGAATAAGTGGCTGGTTAAATTCTGGCGTACTATGGGCAATGAAATTTCACGCAATTTAGGTGTATTTCATAGTGTGGATTATATTGGATCGAATAAGTGGATGTTGGCCTCAGATCGTTATTTAATCATTCTAGTTTCTCACAAAGTAAGTGATTATTTCTGATGACTGAGCGGTAACTTTTTCACTTTAAAGTTTTGATGTATATCAGTCGTGTCTATTGAAATTTCGTTATTTTGTCAGTTCATTTCGGTGGGTGGTGATAAGCAGTGGAATTCAAGATGTGCATTTCGTCCCATTGAGGACTTGTCAGCTGGATGTAACTTTATTCCCCAGTGAGTGATTGCATTCCGAGTGAAACTCGAACCGAGTACCCATCGTTTCAGATGCAAATGCGTTATCCATCGGACTTCTTGGACTATAAAAGCCATCTTTTGTGCAACACATCGTCGAGGCGTCTGCACTAGGAGTCGGCATTTCAACAGAAGCTGGATACCTTGATCCACTCAACCAACGGTAGAATGAAAATTTACCTAAACAAATCATAATTGTTCGTTCTGTCTAAATTTACCAACTAAAAGGGTGTTTCAGATGGTTGTTAGTAGTTTTCTTCAAATCTAGCTAGTTTTACCCTATCCCAAGTATTTTTCATTACTTTTACAAGGACAGCTCTCAATTTTTACGTATTTAATTTGTGTTGAACAAAACAGAACTTGAGTTTTAGCTAACCTATAGGAAATTCATATGAATTGAGTATTCTTGAAAAAAGGTGTGAAAATATCCTTTATATTGGTTGACAGTGGTTACCAGTGGAATCCAGGTTACTGATTTCGTCCTATTTGGACTCGGGAGTGATGGTGTCCCCACTAAGGTTTTGAACGGAGGATCCATTATCTCAAATGCCCAAGTGGAAAATCTTGACTTGATTTCTGAGAAGTAATAATAATAGTAAAGCTTTATTTCAGACAATATGCAAACATATGGCGCAAATATTTTTTCAACGTATTCAGTTCCAAAATACTTTTTTTCTTCATACAAGGTTCACATGTAAAGTAATAATCTGAAGTATATCTTAATTTTGTTGAAGAATGGCACAACGTTTACTTGGAAGTAAATTAAATCAGCGCGCCAGTTCATGTAACCGACCGATTAAAACAATGATAAATCCAGATGAAATTAAGCATTTTGGTAGAAAGCAGTTTCGGTAGCCGAGTGATTCAAGCAGGCCTTATGGTTGCTGAATTATCTAAAACCCTTTCACACCCATACGTTTTATCCTTTATATTAGTATAAATAAGCAGGACACTTCGAAAGCTTCTTTGAAAGACCAGCTTTCTTCTATCGCTTATTCGAACTGCATATTAAAACCAAAAAAATGGTGTTTAGGCCGTTTTTGAGTAGTTATTTCGGTGAAATATTACTGTTTATTTCATAATTTCTTTCTTGTATATTTTACATTTATGCCTAAGTTCTACAAATCCTGATCTTTTAGAATTTTAAACCTGGTATGATTGGTGAGATTCTTTCACAAAAGCGAACTCCAGACCAAGATTACTGCATGTATATTTCAGGAAGTATTAAGGTAAGTGTACGAGTCGTGCTTTAGACTAGCATTAATAGGTTTTCATAATACTTTATGTTTTGCATATATGTATTTTAAGTAAAATTCATCGTGAGTTATAGAGTGTATTCTTTACCAATGTTTCTAATGCTTTTATAATTTCCTAATGATACCCATTAGGTTAGTCTAATAGGTTTTTTCGTTAAAAGATCACATAGAACCCCCCAATGTTTGTTGTTGTTTTTTCAGTAAGAGACTTCAAGCATTCATAAGTCAATATTAGTTGATTGTCCTTTTAAGTTTTGATATGTGAGTTGCTTTTCATTAAATCTCAACAACAACAAAAATTGAAAACATCAGCATTTTTGATATTTTGAACTTATAAATCTCCAGCGCCTTAACTCCTGCTGACGTTCATGCTTCATATCTGCATAAAACAGGTGTTATTTGACAATTTTCGAAAAGAAGAAAAAAGAAAGTTGTATATCGATTTTTATGCATTCGTTATTCAAGTTTTAGAAAAATAAAATACAGTTAATGTCAATTGTGATGTGTCACAGTAGGATTATAGTCCGTACAATTGGGGAGTAGCAGTTAGAAAAGATTGAACATGAAATTTGTACATCCCAACTTGCCTTGTGATAGTCCGTAGCCGATGGTGGGGTCTTCAATGTTACCCATCGCCTGTTGTTATATAATGACTATGATGAGTATGCTGGAAAAAATCTCACGTTCTCCTATGCTTTATGAATTTCGAAATACCAAAGTACATTTGACTACTATGTGTCCTTACATACACACACGGTACACTGTAACGACAGAAGACAAGGGCCAGGCAACAGATCGTTTATTAAGAAAATCGACAGATATTTATAGATTTTTATGTACATTATTATTAGCGCTATTGTTAACAGAGAAGCAAAGTCTTCTGATTGGTTGTTTTCTTGCTGAAGGTTATTCTGTACTGCTTGTGACCGTTTCTTAGAAAGCAAAGCCATATATCTGCGAATCATATTTGCACGCGTTAATTCTGCCGTGATTGGTTTGTGAACTCCTCAAGGTTAAGCTTTGTTATTGTTTTTTCCCATGACCCCCATTTGGGACGTAAACACTGATGTAAATTGTTGTCTATAATTTTGGCTTGCAGACAGCTCTCACCACAACACTACTTCTGTTCTTTGCGGTCTTTCGAAATGTGGCAACTTAAGTTAATATACTCAAGTGTTGGTTTGAAAGGATTTGATTGGTTACAGGATTTTCATCATGAGCTGACATTAGTTAGAGAACCATTGGAAAACCAACTAGGAGTACTGGACAGCCGTTTCGTCACCCTAGTTTGGGACTCTTCATCAGCACGCACCCCCTGGGGCTCGAACCCAGGACCTTCTGGTTACAAGGTGAGCTCGTATACCATTAAGCCACTGGGACCCGATCCAATGGCCCATGAATTCTAACTTCTGCCAATTCACGACATAGCGTGACCCCTAGCCAATGTCTTCGGCAAGTATTTGTCCTCACACCCGAACTGCTGCACCCTACTTCTGTCCGCACTTTTTTGTTTGCTTTTATTCACTCGTTGATTATTTCTGTTTCTGATTACCTGCGTTCTCTACACAGTATTGTAAGTTGGTTGACAGGAAGTACAGTAAACTGCTGTTGATTCATAATGCTGTGGGTGAACACACTATTTATTAATAGGGTCCTATTCAGGAGAAAGTAGTATATGAATTAATCAACTAATAGCCTGTTTATAAGTAAGCTTGTGGTTGTCAGCAGTACTTTGATCCTTGATCTATTAGCAAAGCTATGCAATGTTTTGTAATTCCTTTCTAAATGGGGTAACTCTATATATGTTCCTTATTCCTTGTTCTGGGTACTGTAGATGTTCGTTATCTTCTTTTAAAGTCTGTGTACTTCTTGTTATGATGATTAGTTAGCATTTTCGCTTTAGCACGTTTATTTTTTTCTGTTCCGGATCCTTTATTTTAGACAGTTTATTTATTTCGCGTTTTGTACATCAAAGTTTTATCAAGCGTTATATTAAATGATATGTAATGAACTGATGTAAATTCTAAATTTTATTTGAAATTTGACTTCTCCTTAAACACTGTCCAAACCTTCATGTTGTTTCCTTTCACTGTTCCACCATTGCTCAACTCATAAATGAGTTGGGCTCATTCTGTCACAGAAACTTTGCGAATAAAATGTTAATGTATAGTCTCTGGTTACAGAATGTATATATCTCAACCATGTTTTGGAGTGGGACGAAATGTTTCCAAAAGAGTCTTTTCGCAGATATCCACAAATGTATCTAAATTTACGAATATTGGCGATTGATTTTACTTCAAGACAGGGAAATTTGGTAGACGAATATAACTAAATTGCATTTTTTTGTAAATATTGACATTCCCCTTCCATTTTTGTAGATGTTTACACGGAATTATTTTGTCCTTAAAACTTCTTTTTGTATCAGAAATTGAAATATTCACCTCCGGATGAAAGTGAATTTTATTCATCAGCTTACTAAGTGTACACAATGTATATTGTTTATGCTTCAATGAAACTTAAACCATCTCGGATAACATCTTATGACATTTTAACTTCACTCTACATGTCTGACTTTTTTTCATCCCATTGCATTCCGAGTGGAACACATGGGGTTTCAAGCTTAAGCTTGGCTGTTTCAGTAGTGGTGATGGTTTTTATGGATTGCTAACCACATATCCAACCTCCCATCTTTACCTGGCTGACTATCGACTAAGGGTGGCAACGTAGTGCATCGGCCGGGAATCTAACTACGTGCATGGTTGGCGAGTATCCTACTGCTGGGTCACTGAAAGGATTACTTGATTAGTGTTAACATAAACATCATATCGTGATGTGTGTGGCTTATAACTTTTTGGATGAAGTTGTAATTCCTCATAGTTACTTATTTATTATATTTGACTTTTCGCAGGAGATTTTATCTCATTGCTGATGCTTAGAAGGCATTATCTTTTTATCCATACTCGTGTTATTATGTTCTAACATTGTTTGTTTTCTTTTCTAGAGTATCATTCAAGCCAAAGTTCTGTCAGAGTCAGAGCTCGCAGTTATTTCTATTCACTCTGGAAACATAGCTCTCCAGCTGGCGTCACCGTTGTTAAGAAAAGTTTTTGGAGCCTAAGACTTACATTTATGTATATATTCTTAATATATATTTTTGATGATCAGCTATGTCTTGTTTTCTTTCTTTAACTAAACTGTGAAATGTACTCCTGTGTAGTGTTTAAAGATTTATTATTTGGATTTTTCTAGTTTCACTTTTCTCGATTTTCAAAGCAGTTTTCTAGTTGCAGGAGTATTGGAAACTTCGGGAGGTTGACATACTACTTTTATATATATTTCTCCAGCATTCCCTAGTATCTGATATTATCATGGACATCCTACAGCCGTAGAATTTATTCGTGATTTAGATTTGTAGAGATGAGTTGCATATTCTACCTAGGAGTTTGTATGATTTGGTATCAATCGTCTGCTGTAGTGAAAATCAGAAAATTCATTCATAAACAAAGTTCTAGTGGGGAAAGGTTGCTTCGATTTTTTTGGCACGTGCTGTTCGAACTTACCTATCAAAAAATAGCCTGACATGGTTGTATTCAATGTCAATAGGCTTCACTCCTGGTGTTAATCACGTAAATAACTAACCCGGAAATCTACTAATTAAATCCCTTATCGTTCCTGTTAACAACTACACCTTCATGTAAATGCATGGTTTTACTTATGTGATTGAACGCAGTCTAGGATTATTCTTCTTTATTTCCCAATGAATCTTCGCTCAGAGTGTGTAAGCATGCCTCATTGCACATGTCAATAATATTCCTGAATTATTTGTTTTAAAAGGTTATTGTCTTGTATTCATTGATGTTTTGGTGTCTTAGATATGGGTGGGGTTTTAAGAAAAGTCATCTGTGTTTTAATTGTAACCAAACTGCATGTTTTTCCTGAGCATTGGCTGTGAGAAATGAGAAAATTTGTAGACGGATAAAATTGGACGGGTCCTGCAACCTCATCAGCTTGTAAGTCACGCAACAAATTTGAATTAAAGGTGACAACAAATTTAGTAAGTTTATTTCTTGTAAAGGTCACAAATTACCAGTGTCCTATAAGTTACAGACACAGTATCGTCTTGCTGATGATAATTCACTTACATCGGCTAAGGCCCGTGAGACTTTCATTGGATTGTTTGCTCTAAATTTTCCTGCACGTTATGCCATACTAGAAAGGTCGTTGGATAGCGGCCAGACTAAAATTAGTTACTACCACAGTGTAAATCACCCACACTGTTTTAGGAGCATATGGGCAAAAATGTATGCTGCTGATGCATAGGGATGCAACGACGGTAAAGTGCATCCCTCAGACGACCAGTTCTGCTATATTTCTGTTTTCAGGAGTGCCGCTTAGAAAGACAGTCTCCATGGTATGAGCAACCGGGAAGTAATAACCGCCTACATACTACTAAAGGGACAAAAGGGTTTGTTAGTCGCCAGCCAGCATCTTTCTGCTGACTTTCCACTGTCGATACTGTGTGACCAGTGTTAGCGAACAGAGCCGTAAAAACAGTCTGTCAACTCGATTTTAGTGGTTTCAACGTCCGGTTCCTCTGGAACCATGGGTTTTACGTAGACACGCAAGCAAGACTTGAGTGTTGTTATTCATTTTATCCCATTTAACTCACATGGTGAATCTGCAAAACTTATCACACGAGTGTCAGGACATTCTTCAGCTAGTTATGAATGGACTTGCAACGGTATGGATGTCACTAAGTGCTAGGATTCGTAAATCGCTACGGGGTTGGAGTACATGAGCAACTGTATGCTTGATTTCGTATGAACGGATCTGTCAAGTCTGGAAACACTAAATACTCTGTGGTGTCTCTGCGAAATCTCTTCTCTCAATACAACTGAGATTTGGCTGAATTAAAGGATGAGATCTACCAAGTGCTATTTGTTTAGCTGCTAAAAACATAACGCTGATATACAGTCATTTTAGCAGGCGATTTTTGTGCTGAAGTAGGGATGCTGTGTCTGTCAGAAAATGTTTATTGGGTGCATTTTTATAGTTCCATGGTGACTTACCGAGAGTGGTGGTCTTATTTAACAGTTCTCTGTTCTTCGTTACCACCAACTTAGATCACAAGGTGAGACTTCATCTAACCTGGCAACCTCCATCATCTGATCAACGACGGACTCGAAAAGATCATAAAGCTATAAATTATTGATGGAGAGGGTTTGCAGATCACTATCTTTCCTTTTGGCATACCTGCAGAGATTTCCATTACACTCTAGTCCGTGCGTGTATATGACTGTGATTAAACAAACATAAAAAAGGGCATTAACTAAACTTCTACGCCTCCATTAATCGGTGAAATCACAGACATTCATTTAGGGAATTACAGCTAAAGGTGTATATAAGGCTGATTTGTTCTGAGGAAGCCTGACGTGATAGTCAGCTGTAGAAACAATGGTAAAGGCTGCTGATAGACTAAAACAGAGGTAAGTAGATGCTAGTGGATTCCTGCTAATTTATCTGAATTAACAGACGTAAGGCTTCCTTAAGGGCTGCGAACATGACGATGAGCCAAAGTTTTTTCATAACATTTTCACTTTTCGGAAGATTCTGGAAGAGAATTATGTTCGATGGTATCTACTGGAGTCTGCTGTGGCAGAGTTTGGCCGCGCAGGGAGTGCTGAGGAAGTATGTTACACTAATTGAGGCAATTCACTCGTTGTTCCGCAGTCGTGTATCAGCTAACTGGGGATTATTGCCTGAAATTATAACAGCCAGCAGTTCCCCTCGGAGATGCACACCATCTCCATGATTCTAATCACATCCAGTGACTTAGGGATTGACTTGTTACCAGGGTACAATCTTGTTGGCTTAGATTATGTCAGTAATATTGTCCACCTAGATGAAGACGCTGCTAAAATGCAAAGTCTTCTAACACCTTGGGCGGAAATCTCCGAATGTTTGCCATGTGGTTCGTTTCTGTTGAACGTGAGATTTTGCTGCAGGATTAGATTGCACCGACCGCTAGTTTAAATAGAGTAAATGGAGTGGTAGAGTGTGCTGACCACCTCCTTTACTCGGGAAGTTGAATCAGCCCATATGCTCTGATTTGTGACGAAATCTAGGTGCGAATACAAAAGGCTAGTGTAGTAAATGCTACCTGGCATCATTTTTGGCGTTTGCGTGATATACGGTTATCGGTCATAAGGAGTATATACTGAGCAGTAGCCCGCCCCACCCTCCTTTACTGCAGCGCCACGAAGCTATTGAAGTTACAGGTTAGTTCTCTTTCACTGCGGATGTTTGAGTTCTATCTCCAGTGGTAACTGTCATAATTTGGTGAGTATTAATGTAGTTTCATGTGGAGTGTTAGGTAATCATGATAATCAAACGGTGGGGTTTTGAAGATGCGGCAGTCGAGGTAGTTAAGACATGCATTACGCATTCTAATTCGTTGCATTCCACATTCACTGGAGTTGGCCGACACAGTATTGGACTAGAAAATAATTGAAGATGGTCATACCAAAACATGACACCGATCCATAAAGTCGTTGGCAGTTGATCTGAGTCTCGTAGGGAGGCATAAACTACCTGGCTGAGACTCACGAAATGTCAAGAACCAATAACTGGAGACTTTTGGTGATATGACTCGAAACTGTTCTCTTTTGACCATTTTAATTTTGACCACGTACTAAGTGCTCACTATCGTCTGTGTAATTGATCTTCTTTTTCCTGTACATTTCTGTTATAATTTCCTTTCTTTCTTGACTTTCCCTCACATTTTGTTTTTATGAAGTGCGTCAACTTGAGTTGACGAATGTATGTGCAATGTCCACAGTAAGATAGTCAGTGTTACTTTAGCTACACAAAGTTTAACTTAGTTATCTCTGGAGGGTAAACATTCTAAAATTCACAATTTCCGTTAGTTGCTTTTGCTTAGAAGTAAACTAAGGAAGCGTACCAAAAATTGTTCACTGAGATAGACAGCATTTTAAATTAGGTATATACCGCTAAAGTATTCAGTGTATTCACTTTGTCTGTTCAGCTGTGGGTTTTTGAGAAGTATGTGGTAATAAGTTTGATTTGAAGGAAGTTCAATAATTCCTTTCTGCCCACTAAACAAGGAAGTTGAAACTTGGTATAACTCAACCTCTTACTCTACATTTTATTAATTTATATATTACGCGCCATAGTTTTACTATTCTACCCATTCTCTGCTGGGCTTCTGAAAAGATACTGTGCCATACTACTTTGGATTTTTCAGGCTGTTATTGTGTGCGCACCTGGCCCAGCGAATGAACGAATTCATTTTTTTCGATACTGAACACTAGTAACGACTGAAGACAAAAGACTTGGTAATGGACCATTATTAAGGAAAAGTACATCCTATTTTTAACATTCGTGGCCCCACAGTTTGCTTAGGTTGGAGTATAATAAATTATGGTGATTGATTTGCAATTGGCTGAATGTCATTTAAGTTGTCCAGTGAGGTCAATTAATATCTACAAAGTAAACCCTGCAGCTGTTGACTTAAATTGTTGATTTAAGTATTGGCTGCTTTATACCAGCCTGCATCACGTTACACAGCATCTGAACTTATAACTGTCTTCTTGTGTCTCTTCGTGGAATACTAGAAGAAATTTCATTAGGACTTATCCTGCTACTGTTCAGCAAGATTGTCGTGTGACGAAGGTAGTGGCAGAAAATAACTCTCACACCATTCTTGTGGTTAGTCAGTAGACTGCTACCTATTTCTGGTAAACAATTTTTATCAGTATTACCTACAACAACATCTTTCTAAACTTCGGGTTTCGTGTCTATCACTTTTGATTTTGAAATATAAAAATACTGAAAATAGTGAGAACGGAAGGACAGTGGAGGAGTTTTAATCTACATATGAACGAAAACTCAATCAAGTTGAAGCGCCAACGCAATACAAGCTCTATTACTTTGTTAATAGCGACCATTCTAATTAAGGAGATGCACAATCAGCATAGACAGTGTTGGGGAGTGTTTGACGTGGTTTTAAATGCCGATGTCAACCTCTAAATAGTCCTTAACGTCAGCACCTACTAAACTTGCTTTCCTCGGGTAAGCCTGATCAGAACTCTACCTAACATATAAGTACCGATAAACGAACTCAAAGTAAAAAGGCTTGTGACTGGGTAGTGTGATCAGATGAGGGGTATATTTTTACCACAGATTAAGTGTCAAATCTTGTAGATAAGAATACTGTACAACTTATCTGTTAATTGACTGCAGCAGCAAGCTCAGGACTACGCTTAATGATGGCACAACGAAGAAGCAGGCCTGTAGCGGACCTGAGACTTCGCTAGCTTAATATCCCGGATTCGAATAGAAATAAAAAATACAAAATCCGTAAAGTTACTGGAAGAATATATTAAAATTTGTTACTTGGGCTACTACAAGGTCCAAAATCCACAATTAACTTAACAGACTCCAGAAGTATAGTAAGAACACTGCTCCAGTGTTAATTCTCCAATGTCGATATTGCCAGACGTCGACCAAGGTAACGTAGGGAGAAACTACGGCGTCCCTGAGAAATTTTGCAATAGTAGATAGGTAATTAGAATTGGCCGATGGCAGTTGAGGCAGTGGAGAAGACGAAGAGATGTAGGCAGGACAATATTTTCATTCAAAACACGAGGTTAGGTACAAAGTACAAAGATTCTGGTTAAAACAAAGTAATGTACAATATGTTCATTTCTCACATAGTAGTAAAAGTTGGATGAGTTCATTTTGGAGGACTCCACAGACCACGTACGAGCAGTCACGCCAGAAGAACGTGATGACACGGCGCCATATTACATGAATGCGTTGAAACAAAAGTTCACACATTCAAGGTACCCTGCGTTGTCATTAGTCACGATTGACTGTGCTGATATAGTAAAGCCAACTTCTAGCCTAGTGAAGTGAGCTCCCAAGTAGACTTCTTTACCATAAGAGTGCCATTCAGTGACGGTGAACGAGCACCGCGTGCGTGAAAGAAGGCGACAACCATGAGGAAAGTATCTAATGAAAAGAAGTACAGAGTGTCTCTTTCAGAACAAACGGAAAGGTATGGTACAAATGGAGACTAGATATAAAGCAATGAGGTTATGCCGCAAACATGGCCCTACGAAATGTGTGCATTTCTGAATTTCAAGTGGATAGGAGAACATCCCAGCCAAACCTATCCTGGGAACCGTACACCAACTCTAAGACCTGTACGAACTGCTTCAAAGGATAGGTACTGTTTAGGAGATATTTACTGTTAGGAGTATGAATTAAGGACTCCTAAGCAATCCAGAGGTATGCAAAGCTCTAAACGATTAGCTGTGAAGGCAGATGAACAAAGCCGTGTGGCTGACATCTTGGCACCATTTGATTCAACGAAACATCTTTGAGATTATCCTTCTACCCTAGCGTCGAACATAGTAAGCTGTTTGGACATTTGTAGGACATATAATAGTTACAGAGGGACTTGAAGTGGACTATTCGATCGGCGGCGGGGTCTAAAATATCCAGGGTGCAGTAAACTTATTGGTTTGCTGCCATTTATACTCAAGGTGATGGAAAACCTGTTTGATGAACGAGCCAAGCAGCTTCTGAACAAAAACAGCATTATGCATTACTCTCAATGCGTTTTAGTAAGGGGTATGACTCGCTTCACAATTCTTCTCGTAGCCTAGAATAATTTGAAGACGAGCCTACACTAGATTGTCCTGGTGCTCACCTTGTTTCTAGACTTTGCGAAAGCTTTCGATTTGGTGTTGTACGAGGTCTTTCTCTGAAAAATTAGGATATAGAAAATGGGATGGCTTTTTATGTCAGGATGCATCAGGTAACAATCGCTTGTGCAACAGTCGAAAAATATCCTTCTGCGGCTCATACGCAGCCTGTGTCTCCCAAACAAAGACAGAGAACTTCGGACAAACTAGACACAAGCAGTAAAAAGGTAAGGGATTCAGCCGAAGCAATCTAATTCGTGTGCACGCATCTGAGTGCTCTTATAGCTAGACTTTCCTTGCAACCAAATATAGAAGGCCATAACATCATTGCACCTCCACTAGAAAAGGAAATGCTAGCCTTTTAGGAAACGTTCAAGGGAGAACAGCTGAAAAACTTCGCCAAGGCTGGAATAATAACTACTTGACGTCTGACTCCGAAAGCTGAGCATAGATACCTTTGGTTACTGTAGAACCAAGGAAACCCAAATCGTGCCATTCGAAACAGCTTACGATCTAAGTCACTATATCCGAGGCATACTACCAAAAGGGCACTGTAGCATCCTTCAGGGTAATCCTAGCACATTTGCTAATTGCCACCAATAATGGTTTCTCAGAGTCTACCAACCAAACGTGTAATGACAGGATAAGATGTAATGATATGAAAAATCTTTTGACATATTTTCCTTTAGGCATTTTAATATGAAATTTAGTTTAAAAGAAGCCCTTCAAGCAGATCACGTGCTTATGGGTAAAAAATCTCACGTAGTCAGATAATTTTCAATGTTGGTGTGTTTGTCACCTCCATGCAATACAAGAAAAATATGCAAACTGCATGTCACTCTTTGACTAATGAAATATTTCCATAACAACCCTTTTTTCTGTTTGCTTGGAAAGAGTATCCTTAAGTACGAAGATAAATCAAGAAGTAAAAGTCATGCAGTTCAGAAAACTCTTTGGTAGCAGCCTCAAGTCCATCTGAATTTAATAAATTCGTTTGGAACCCTTTATTTCGTCGTAAGATGGGTTGGTGTTTTTATATCTAGATAGCTTGCTCGTTCAGTTTGTTTAAGACCTCCAAGAAAACAACCCGCGAAGTGCGAAGTAAGTGTCTACTTGTAATTGTTATTTATAATTATCCTTGCATTATGGTTTTCACCATCAAATATACGGTTTATTACTCACAAACTTATAGATGTCATGAATGTTACAGCTTTAATTAACTTTAACTTTCGTTTCTTAACTGCTAATGTCCTGAAAGGTGACCTAAATTACTGTTAATTTCAGCCCCAAATGGTCTATCCGAAGTGATTTTTCTGGACCTCTCTCACTCTCATCACCATCATTAAAACTATTCAACGCGTGGTGTGAGTGTGCTGCAGCATGGGGGTTGATGACAATGAGTCTGGCGACCCTACGAAATACATAGTGGGGTTAGTTTGAAAATGTTTAATTATTATGGAATTTCAGGGATAAACAAAATGAATATATCGATAGCAAAATTTCAACACCTCCTTGCCAACCTTCAGATGAAACACAATCATCACATTGTTACAATGATGCATCTTCAGCATGTTGTGTCTTTTGTGGAATAAGTGAACATTTAAATCTCGGGCAAGGTGAATTGGTTAGGTTCCATACAAAGCTTGAATACTCCGAACCTCCAGCATGGTACAAAGATCATGTTAGCAAAGTAAAGCTGAGGCAAGAAAGGTGTACTAATATTTTGGTGACAAATCGTTTGACACATACAAATAGGCGAAATCAACATAGTAGAGTGGTTATTGCCACTGGCTCAACTCTACCTACCGACTCAAATGCCTGTAAAGTGGGTCCTCACTTATCTCTTGATGGGAGTCAACGAGGTCAAAACAAAAATTCCTTTGGGTATGTTCAGTTTACGTGATGATATAATCCACAGTTATGACTGTAAACCTTGCCTTTCGGGAATGCCCACACCATATTTTGACTGTTATGGTCGACCATTTGGTCTAGTGGAAGAGTTGAATTATGTTGGCTGGCCTGCTGCTGTAACTGGTGGTGAATTCCTACAGCTTAGTAATTTGATTGTGAAGTGTACCCCTCGTGAAGGTGAAGAAGGTGGTTGGATTTATGCACACCATTGTTGTGCATCATGGTCGAACGGTGTCCATTTCAACGAACAGGTGAGTATATTTTGCAACAGCAAATTCCATTTTACTAGTTGCATTATTTTCTGGTTAATTTCAATAAACATTTTCTAAGGGTTTTGTAAGCATGATCAAGTTTTTGAATTATATTATGGAGCTATGGATTATTAGGATAATAAGTTGTTGTACGAATGTACCTTCACTGCTTTTCTTCTCACATACTCTTCTTCATTTTAAATCATCACAGTATTCACTTTATTGTGATTATAAGTAATTCAAACAATTGTAAATTTTGGGTCTTAAGCTCATCTCATCAGACATAGTTACAGTTTGATTTTATCAAATATATTTGTAAAACTTGGGCACTGTGGTAGTAAGTAGTTTCATATTAGTTTGTTTATTAGATATATCACAGTGAAAAATTATTATTTATTGGATGAAATCCTCCATCCAATCAAACAAAATCCCTACAAAACCAATACTTGAAAATATATCTAATAAAAAAACCAACATGGAACAACTGCAAGGCATCTGTTCTGAGTCTATTTTTAAAGTTTAATGGTATGGTCGTAACCTGACTGGTTGTTGGTGATGCTAGGTTATAGCGTATTGTTTTTTAATCAGATACTCAGACAGGATCTATCGCGTACCAGGCTATATGCTACACTTTTTGGTGGTACTACTCAGGTACGTAATTTGAAGTTGGTGAAATGGAATTCGAATATTAGGCCCACTGGTAAAAGCTTTATTAAAGTTAGTGAGGTTCGTCATCGATAAGTCATATTCCTGCACGTAATCGTAGTAAGAAACAGTATAAGCTGGTTAACGGTGATTGCTCTCAGACTGGGAGGTAGACCTTGATGTTTCTTGTGAGGAGTAGTGTTTCAAGGTTAGTAGGACTGATGATGTCACTTCTAGACACCGGTTACGATAGTTTAGACATGTTCTACGAATTTCTTCCGAGAGACTTTCATACTGCTTACTGTTTTCTAGCGATGGGACTAGATAAAAAAGCGAAGTGATCAATGATGAGTCAAGGAATAAAGTATAGTTGAGTTTGGTCAATGTCCTCTGGCCTATCATGATCCTCTGGGTGAGATCGGTAGTTCGTGTGACTTGATGTCTCGAGACGTGATCAGTTATGGTTCGGAATCGAAAGCAATGACTAGCGCACCTCAGTTTTCTCATTTATATATATATGAAAATAATATCACATAATAAACGCTACTTTGAATGCTGTCGAAAAGTACGCTTACCTGTTCTCATTCGGTCGTCCCAAAACTATTTAATTTTTTACCTTGTCTTATTTCGTGACATCTCTTGACGCTTATATTATAACAGCTTGTGTTATGAATAACAAGTGGCAAGATTTAAAAGTGAATACATTTTTAAAACACGACTTAATACCTCCAACAAAGTTTGTTTGGGTTAGACCACTGTTTGTACCCATGTTCGTTTTATTTTCAATAAAGGTGCAGTTGATTAGAATGTGGAGTTCTTTCACGTATATTCATTCATACTGGAACTCCCAGATTCAGTGAAATTAAGTTAGTTGAAATATCTGTTGAAATATGTAAACATATGGTTCTTTTGTCTATTTCTGGCTGTCAAACATTACAATTGACTGTTCCAGTGATAACTGATTGTCTGTAATGTTTTAATTTTAACTGAATTTCCATTGTTTTGTTTATTCAGATGGTTCTTGAAGGTGTCGAGGATGCAGCAAATATTGCACTGTCTCAGAGTTGTTCGCTTTGCCTCCGGTATGGAGCAAGTATATCTTGTCGTGTTAGCGGATGCAACTCAGTCTTTCATTTCTTATGTGCAGCAGGAGCTGGTTGTCTGCAGGATATTGAAACGTTAGAGTTACTATGTCCAGTACATATTTCAGAATCTGCCACGTCGAGTAAGTTAGCTCATTCGTGAGATATTTCTTTAATATTATTTCTGCAGTTATAGCAACCTCATTGTATTTTGTATACATCCTTCGTTTTTATCCTCAGCTTGTTTAGTCATTTGTAACTTTATTGAATTTACATGTGTTGTTAACCGTTAATGTCGTATGAGACCACTAACTAGTTGCATGTGAATGTTTTCTCGGAGGACTTTATGAACTTACGACTTATATTTTCCACTGACATTGTCACTGAAATTAATTGTTTCATCATTTGTAGGATGTCTTGTTTGCCGTTAAATCATATTGCATATATTCAGGTCTCCCAGTTTTTTTACAGTGTTGTATAAAGACTTATCAAAAATTGAGGGAATAATTCTGTGGTAGACTCAATACACAACGGATAGGTACCACTTCCAGTACGTGAACGAATTTGCTTTCAGCTGATGAACACTTTTATATGTAGTGAGTCATGTTGATCTAAACACCAAGGTTTTTAAATAATGCCCTCTATTGGGATTTCCAATGTTGTTGTTTTTTCTGAAATATCAGTGCATATTTTTGAATTCATTAAATTATAGACTGTGCTTCACTGCAATGTATTCTGTGCGAGTCCCTGGGTGATTTGACCGAACTTTTATTTTGTACTAGTTGTGGTAGCCATTATCACGCTTCCTGCTTAGAACCGCCTCTTCAGCCAAGCCCTACAATTCGCATTGGATGGCAATGTGCGGAGTGTAAGACCTGTTTGATATGCAAGTGAGTTTTCATCGCATTTGAACTTGTCAAGTAGCAAAAGTAATTTTTGTTCATTATGTCTAATAGGTACTCTATTACTTAATCAAAATGGTTAAACATTGTAGAAATACATTAGTGTTGTAATTTTATGATGGAAGTACTAAGCATTACATTTATTTCAGCTGAGTAAAGTTCATACGTTTTCGTGAGTCAGCTTTGATCAGTATACACATCCGTACTGTGTTCTGCAGTTGGATCAAAATAATAAACAAAATGCATTTGAGGTTTTTAATTTCACAAACACTAAAGAATTTGAATGGGTATTGTGTTGATTAAGCTTTAAAGAGATACTTCAACGTGTTCAGCTTTCACTGGCTTCAGTGTCCAGATGTTTGTTTATGTCTTTCTATCTACCGTAGACCTAAAAATATCTCTAAATCGTAGTAGCTACTGTTACATTTTATGAATGTGATTCATTAGCACTGCTTTTACATATTTCTTCAGTGCGTATATAAGCCTTCATATTTTTAACCCCTCTTTTGCTATTCCTATATGTTTGTGCAATTTTAGTGAAAGTAAAGATGAAAACAAAATGTTGGTGTGTGACATATGTGACAAGGGCTACCATACTTATTGTTTGAAGCCTCCTGTTTCAAGTATTCCTAAGAATGGATTCCGATGTGAACGATGTCGTGTTTGCTCTGATTGTGGAGGTGGGCGTGTTTCTGCTACAAGTGGGCTGGAAGGACCTGTGCCCTTCAACAATGAACTGGTAAGTTACAGTCTATATTGGTATATTTTAATAAAAATGAGCGGTCTTAATATGTGTATGTTTTTTCTTTTACAGAATCCAAATGTCCGTTGGCACAGCAACTATACCTTATGTGACCGTTGTTTTCATACACATAAACGCCCCAATTCATGTTGTCCGGTATGCGAAAGGGCTTGGCGGTGCTCATTACCCGTAGGTTTTCAGTAATTGGTTAAATAATGAAATATAATATACTCTGCTATTTTATCTTTCCTTCTGCTTCAGTCAATGTTATGCTTAGTTGAAACTCATCATAGTGAAAATAATATTTTCAATCGGAATACGTTTAATTTTAGTGAATTTGTGTACTTATCGTATTCTATGTAACTCTCATTAGTTTGCAGTTGTCTGACTAGTGTGTGATGGCCGCTGATCAGTTTAACACAACTAGTAAAATATTCTAAATTTAATGATTAACCATGATAACTTTGGACACTTATTCGTTTTTTGTAGAGCTTAGTATTGCAGGGAGTGTGAGTCTGAAACAAAGTCATTGTTAGGTAGAAAGTTACTGGGTAGGTTCGCATTATATGTCCAATTCTATCATTTTACTACTTTTCATTAAAGAGATTTGGTCATCTTTAGCTTCAGTGGTTGTCAAGTATTAACTATCCTGTCCTTAGATTGTTGCTGTTACTAGTGAGTTCAAAATACGCCTACGAATTCTTGAAGAATTTTGTCATACTTAATATTATTTTACATCTTTCATCTTGGCGGTTAATCTCCTTGTAACTTTTTAATTCTCAGTGGTGATGTTCTATCAGGTTGTTACTTCATGGCTGAAAGCCATGGGCATAGATTTCATGCTTGTTAAAACTCACTAATAAGGGTGATCTGCAATGTTGTTGAAATTCACATTCTCTCTCTGTCGGTCGAACTTGCATCACTCACTGACTGTATCACAAATTCGCACAAAACACAACTGATCTGCAGAGTCACTTGAGTCTTATTTGTATTCCAAGGGCCTATTTCAGTATTCTTAATTCTTTATGAAGGGTGTAGACTTTCAAGTTGTAAAGAAGTTGATGACTAAAATGCCATTAAATGTGTTCTGCCCTCAAATTACTAACTGGAAAAGTAATCTAGTCAAGATATCTGTAATATAAAACAAACATTTTTCTCTAAGTGATGCTAATATAGTAATTGTTTCGGTCTCTGGATTATATTACTGCGATGCTCTCACTTGTCCGATATAAAATCTTTAATCAAGTATAATCCTAAGCACCATCCGACACAGTGAATTCTAACCAATAAATATGCAGTTGTGTTTGTGTTCTGAATCCCAGTACTCAAATAGGTCTGTAAGATATTCTATATAGCATTACCAATAACTATATTTGCACAGACAGATAATAAACTTTTATTGGTTTTTAGGTACCTGAAAATTCTACTGGAAATTCTAGTAGTACTTTCCTAGTTTGGCCTGGAAAAAAATGTGTTCAGTGTTCGCGTATGGTTCATGCAGAGTGTGATCCATCTTCTAATCAGACTACAGTTTCACCGTTATCTGCTACTAGTGAAGAGACAAATGGAACTTGTGGGCTGAATTATGTCTGTCCTGTCTGTCGGGCTCGTGGATCAGCGACACCAAGCGAGGTACTTTTAAACTTATAAATGTATTATATCATTTGATATCTAAAAGCTTCCAGCTAACTTCTTTTTATGTGTATCACAGGAATGAACTTGTGTTCTATTGTTACCGAATAAGTTGATAATGCTGTTCACTGCAAAAGAGATTTTATAATCCAGTTGATGTTGTTCGGTTCATCTAAGTTGTATAGGTTGGATCATAATTTAGTTTCGCTTTTTGATCAAGTTTGGTAATTGATTTTCAATGTGTTTCAGATTTGTTTGTAAAAGTGGCACTTTGATGACTAGAATAATAATTACTCTATGCAGGTTTCAAGTGTTAGTTTTAAGGGATGGGATCACCCCACTGGCGCTTGAGCCCAGGGCCATGCTGTCCAGTACTACCTGGTTTCCAGTGTTTGTTTTTTTAACTGAAATCAGTTCGTGATCTGAATTTATACAGTTTATGTATATTTCAAGTTTCACTCTGAAATTGTATCAGCGTACAATTCAGTTTATAATAAGTGTTTGAAAGATATAATATATCCCTACCTTGTGTATGAAATATCCAGTCTAATCATTTTAATTGTTATCTAAAATTAGTATTTACTGTTGAATGATTGTTTGGACGAAATAAAGGAGGAATATTTCTAGATATGTGTCGTGTATTCAATTAGTGTATACGATGTCACTGCAGTGAAGGTACACCTTTGATTAATTCATTCACTACTATTATTTTATTCTGTGTTTAAATCGCCTTGTATAAAGTATCTATGTAAGTGATATCAATCAAACTGAAGTGGTAAGATGTCCTCAGTGGAATTCCGATTTATTTAATTTGATATTTATAGGTTGCTTCAACTACTGCATCTTTCCGAGCGAGTCCAGTTCCCGGAGGCGGTAACAGCAGTAACAGTGGTGGGGACATGATTGATGATGCTTTCGCACAAGGCGGCAGAGAATTATTGGATGATAATGCTCGTCAGTGTGTTTCATCGGGTTCTCTTTGTCCTGGAGCTAATGGAAGTACATGGGTAAATACACCATCCAGTTCAACATCGAATTCAACAACTCCAAACACTGAACCAGGGAAACAACAGATACAGTTAACTAATCAAGATTTTCCAGGATCACCACGAATTCATTCTAAAGTGACTTCTAACAACAGTAAGCAGTCTGTAACAAGTTCTACAACTAGTCGATCCACATTAGATCAACCTGCCAGTAGTAATAGTACTGGACGTAGACGAGGGAGTAATCAAGCTAACGATTCCAATTCAACTAAAACAAATTCAGCAACTCGGGTTCGTGAAATTTGTTTGTTTTTTGTCAAAAATTCCTTTTTTTTCAATTGAATTTTCTTCGTGGCTAGTCACTTGGTTTTATCTACGGACCACTTATTTAGTGCCTTTCATTTGGATGTACATGTTAGTTTCCCGAACAAGGTCTCATTCCTTGCTTATCTGCATCCCTAATTTACAGATTGTCGGTTTTAGATGAATTTCTGTTTGATTTATTTTTAAATAAAAAGGGTTAAGTAAGTGTCTTCAAAGGTTAGAAGAAATCAGAAAACGATTCAGTAGAACATTTTCGAAAAATAAGCCGTGTATAAGCTCAAGTTCATTGACTCTCTGATTCACAATATTCATGGTACAAAATCAGTAAACTTTTTTTGAATTAAAATTACTGAATATTTCATTGTTCCAGTGTAATTCTCTTTTTGTGAATCCAAGCTTCTACTTTTTCATCAATATACATGGAAAAATAAATATTACTCCCTCTGTATTATACACATTTGGCTTTTATTAGTTATCTGTTACGTATGCCTAGTCATCGCCTTCCTCGACGGGCATTGTTAGCTGATATAGGGCCAGGCTGGAAAAGAGCTAGCGGCGGTCAAACGAAAACATGTCACCAGTCAATGAAATCTACAACAGTTAGTCTAAGCCACGTAGGAAGGTGTAGACTTCCTGACCGGTTGGGGTCCTCGGGACGGTAAAAACCAATGATTGGAAACAATTGGTGATATGGCTCAAAATCGTTCTCAATGGCTGGTGCAGATGCATCCACTCCTTGTGACTTATGATTTCCAATTAAACTGTTTTGTTCTCCGTTACTACTATACCTTTGTCTCACACCTCTGTTTACTGTCTCTATAATGCATTTCTCCTACTTCCTTCTCTTGCTTTGTGTGCTACATGGAGGGAGTGTGGCGACTCGAACTGCCGCACATATGTGCAAAGTTCTATGTCGAAAACCGACCGACCGATTAGTTATCAGCGCAATCTATTCATAGGCTTGTTATCAGTTCACAGTCAGCTATTGAAAATAGGCTAATCAAACACTGCTGGACTCATAAGTGATTAGACACCACTGATATCATATTTGAATGATTGCTATTCATTTATGCTTAAAAATTGTCAGCGAGAATTGTACAAACTTGTGTTTTTTTTTTTTTAAAAAATTATCTAGCTACGTTACCTTTATCCTGACTTTCTTGTTTTGCTACTTTATATCTCCTTCAAATTGATACAGGATAATATGTTTCACAGTTTTAGTATATTTTACAGTTAGTCTTATTTTCTATGAATTAAAGTATTATTATTTCTTGATTTCAGTCGAACAGTACCAATGCTCAAACACCTACAGTGACTACAAAAACTGGCGCATTGAAAAGGACGAATACATCAGCAACCTCAACTAGTGTTAACAGATCCAGGCGTACAAAAACTCGAAAAATGACAACGGTAGGTTTTATGTTGTGTTTTTTTTCGATTACCTCTTCAGTTTATTTGAGAATTATTTTATTAATAGATAGTTTCGACTATTGGCTTAAACGAATGAACTCATTAAGGTTTGAGTAGCTAATGAATTTATTAGCCCTTATACATTGTATGTAGTGCGTCTGTGGCGCAGCGTTTAGGACTCTTGCCGACCATGCACGTGGTCTGGAGTTCGATCTCCGGCCGACGCACACCTGATATCAGTCTGCTAAATTTGGGCTACGGATATCGTATACTGAAAATTCCATACTTGTACCAAAATACTGTGTGGAATCAAGCTATAATAAAATTTAAAAAAATAAATAAAAGTGTGTGAGTCTATATTTAGTTTTCTATTGCTTTACACTTGTGAAAACTTAGGTATATATGATTAAGTTTGGCTATTCAACTACTCTGCAGTTATGAATTATTAGTTTATATTACAGCTTTCATTGGGTTTCATTTGAACTAAGCTATATGGTGCTAACTACTAGGCAGCTTAAGAGATGTGTTACTGAATATTTAACTGTGTATTTAGAAAGAGGGCTAGTAAAATCAAAGCAAGAATTGGAAAAGCAAGACAAGCTTTCACTACTCTCAAGTCTGTGTGGAGGTCAACAGCACTCAGCATGAAAAATAAGATCCGGATTTTCAACTCCAATGTGAAGTCAGTGCTACTTTACGGATCAGAGACTCGCACTGCGCGTCATAAAGAGCATCTCAAACAAACTACAGACCTTCATTAACAGTTGTCTTCGCTCAGTACTAATCAAGATCAGATGACCGGCCAGAAAAGATCAGCATCAGGGATCTCTGGCATTGAGCAAACCAACCAGGAACCGATTGTGAAACAAATAGGCAGGAAGAAATGGAGGTGGATTGGCTGGCCATACTCTGAGGAAACCATCAAGTGACATCACTAGACAAGCCATTGCTCGAGTGGAACCTGGCCGAATAGGAAGCGGCGAGTTGATCGTCAGTGCAAGGGTGACTTGGAGGAGGTCATGTGAAGAGGAGATGAAAACGTGTGGGCAGACTTGGAGCCAGGTGAAGACTCTAGCAGAGAACCGAACGCAATGGAGACTCACGACTGAAGCCCTATGTTCCTCTAGGAATTAAAGGAAACAATAATAATAAAACCAACTCATATAGTATATTAATTTATATACTTGTAGTCTATTCAGAGCTCGTTACGCCTTACCAGTTGCCCAGAGGATGTAGTAATGTTTATCTAATTCTATTGTTCGTTCTTTATTTCATCCTTTTAGACCAACCATTAGGAAAATAATTAATTTACTCAGATGTTTATTGATTTTAGCTGTTTACTCATTCTTGTCAGAGTCAAGATAAATGATTTCATTAATTTAATATATTTAAATTGTTTATTTCAAACAGTATGAGTCAAAAACACCCGAGGAGAAAGATGATCATCCTAGTACTGTAGTCTTTTGTCGCTCCGATGATAAATTTATGCTGGAACAAGATATTTGTATTGCATGCGGATCAATTGGTTTGGATACTCCACTTTTAGCTTGTTCACAGTGTGGTCAATGCTATCATTCCTTCTGTGCAGATGTCCCGAAAATAACTCGAACTATGATTGAAAGAGGTTGGCGATGTTTAGATTGTACAGTATGCGAAGGTTGTGGGGGAACTTCAAACGAAAGCCTTTTACTCTTATGCGATGATTGTGATATCAGCTTTCATACTTATTGCTTGGATCCTCCATTAAAAGAAGTACCAAAAGTATGTTTACAAACATTTTACCTTTAATATTATATTATATTGAATTTCAAAATGCTTAATTAGTAAGCATCCTTTAAACTGTTATCTAACATAAACCCATTAATAGATTTATTTAGCAACAAATTTTCCCCATATACTTTCTAAATGTATCTTTTCTACATTTTATCTAGGGTGGTTGGAAATGTGCCGATTGTGTTGTGTGTACTAACTGTGGTCAACGTGATCCAGGTGTAAATGGAAAATGGCATGCCAATTATTCGATATGTGCACCATGCGCATCACTCACTACTTGTCCTGTTTGTAATCTAGCCTATCGTGAAGAAGAATTACTCATTCGATGTGCTTTATGTACTCGATGGGCTCATGCTAACTGTGATCAATTGCGTACTGAAGATGAATTAGAATTAGCTACTGATTTAGGCTACAATTGTCTTCTTTGTCGCGAATTGGGTGCTGAAATAGGAGCAGGACATGCTCAGGTAAGTTCGTCGTTCAATATATCAGTTGTGCCCTTATTTTTTTTGCGTTTAGTTTTCGTAGTGGACTTGGTTTGTTTTTTCCAGTAGTGCATACACTTTTTAAGCAGCTGTTGTCTTTGAAATTCCTGGAAATAACTGTTACCGTGATCTGTTAACTTCGTTTTGAAGCATATCAATCTCAGCCTGGTGTAAAGCTTTTTCAATTTCATTGTAAAACTGGGATAGCTTAGCATATTATCTGAATGTATGGTGTTTTAATTGGCATTATTAATTCTCTTCTCTAACTGAGTGTAAAGACTGTAGCCTATCGACATCTAAGCACATCCTGTTGACAATCTTCAGAAGTCGTAGTCCGAATACATTAAAAAAAAGAATTATTAGAGATACTGCCCATGATTCCCAAAAAAACTAGGATGAAATAACTGTCCAGTACTCCCTGGTTTTCAATGGTTCTCTAACTAATATCTATCCCGTGGTCAAACTCGTATAAACAAATCTAATCCTTACAAACCAACTCTTGAAAATTAATCTGATGCTCGCTAGTGACCTGATACAGGACGGAGTTTCCTGGAGTTCTAGTGAGAAGTCGTGACCAGTGAGGTCCATCCAGTCAGGTGGTAGGATGGAGTTCCCGCTGATGACATTGGTTGGTGGCCGCGCTAAATCACGAATTGGTAGGGGTTAGAATTGATGAGCCATTGAGTCGGGTCCCAGTAGCTGAATGGTATACGAGCTTGCTTTCCCGGGTTCGAACCCCGTTGGTGGGTGCGTACTGGCGACGATTCCCAAACTAGGCTGACGAAACAGTTGGCTGTCCAGTACTCCCTGGTTTTCGATGGTTCTCCAACTGATATCAATCCGCGGTCAAACTCGTAGATACTTTCACGTGGCAACTCGAACTGCTGCACTTCGGTGCCAAGTTCTATGTTGAATCCAGCAGCAGCGTAGATACTTTCAGCCAAGCATATGAATAGGTATACTATCTGTTCACCTCAATGCCTTTAGTGAAACTGTATTTATTAGTGCAGAAAATATAGCTCAAAAGGCTGTCACTCATTTGATCACAATTCTATAGTTTCAGCTTATTGTGCTGTTTAAGTGACTAGTCTTCGGTGTCTTCGTTTTTGCTGATTTATCATCATATGCATAGAAAAAAAATGCTTTCAGAAGACTTTTTTTTAACAAATTCACGATAAAATTCATGACAAGTGGCGGGATGCTATTTCGAAAAAAAAAATCCTGCGTGTATGCCATTGACTATTGACTTTTTATTTTCACCTGTGGAGTGTAGTGATCACAATTAACTTTGCACTTCTTTCTATTATTGAATTTTACTACTAGGTATTGGCTTATAGACAGGCAGCTAATGGGAATCTTAGTGCTTTAGAAAACTTAAAGTTTGGTGAAATTACTGAAAATCTGTTTGCTGATAAACTAGTAAGTCTTATGATTTGTGATTTATGTTGTACAATTCACATTTGTTTTCACGCGAAACGTAATAATATAACCATGAGTACGCAAATATGCGCTTAAATAACTGATTTTACCAAGTTCTTTTTATGGAGTATTTATTCTAGCGTTTTACATATCGTTAGTTTGTAAAATTAATTCTCTTAAAGGCAACGGGGACTGGACGCGCCAGTGGCCTTCAACCGACCAATAGTATTAACCCGGCCAGTTCGAGTGACAGAAGAGAAACAGAGATAAGCATCCCAAATAAAGGTAGAAAAACATAAAGAAAGGTATCCTGTTCACAGTCGTACTGCCCTTTCCCAGCATTTCTTCGCGAATATGGTTTTTTCCTCTCATCTGGTCATTGGTGTGTTCGCTCCCTTGGATCGCTATACTTTAACTTGACCCTCTTAACTCTACTGAGGAAAATAAACTTGTTAAAATGATTAATATACGGTCTTCAAAAGACCAATGTATTCTAAAACTACTCATTATCATGATTAGTGTTTAAATTATATTGTCATTTGAGCAATACTTACATTCGTGTAACGGCAGAACACAAGAGTATTTGGCAACAGATCAGTTTATTGGCAACTCTATAAACGGATGTAGGCAGAATACGTCTATCATACTTTTTATTATTCATTTACGATCCCAGTGGAACATAAGGCTTCAAGCTCTAGACCTTTGAAGTTTTGATAACAGTGGTATTTATTTTTATGGGATGGGGTTGCTAGCCTCATGTCCAACCTTCCGTCTTTACCAGTCTTATTACTGGCTTAGCGGGTTAAAGGAGGGCATCGGCCATATGTTGTTTCACACGAGCATCGTTTATTTCTTCCCATCATCATTAACTTTATCTCTCCCCTATTCGTTAATTTTGCAGATGACATACGTATTTTTATCTGTATTTATATACTACTTCTAAAGCTTTTAGTAGCAAACTCCATTTTTGTATTCGTGATATCACATATACATTATCTTCTCTAGTTGTGATGTTTTAACTGTTCTTTTTTCAATATATTAATCATTCACTGAATGATGACCATTTAAGAATGAGTTTTATTTGGTAACTGTATATTGCAGAATGAGCTTCTTCATTATATGAGGGTAAATGATGATGGCACAAGATTATTTTCAATATCTAGATGGTTTTTTTTATCGTATTCTTAATGTACACATTACTGAGTGCACAGTTTATCTTTAGTTGCATTCCATGCGATGTGTTATATTCAACGAAATCCTCTACATCAACGAGTTGAAGAAATGAAAAGGTTGACTGTTTTTGATCATAGATGTCTACGATCTCTTTCTCACGTTAGGTGGTATAATAAGGTAAGTAATGTTGACGTTAGGCGTAGAGTGTTGGGCAAAGGGGGAAAATCAATCGAAGAGGCTATAAAGGTACATAGATTGAGATGGCTAGGTCACGTGTTGCGCATGCCTAACCATCGCCTCCCCCGACGGGCATTACTAGCTGATATAGGTGCAGGTTGGAAAAGAGTAAGTGGTGACCAAACAAAAACATGGCATCAATCCATGAAATCCTTGACAGTTAGACTGAGTCAAGTAGGGAGATGCAGACTTCTGGATTGGGGCCCTCGGGACTCTAAGAATCAATGGCTGGAGACAATAGGTGACATGGCTCAAAATCGTTGTCAATGGCTTACGCAGATGTATTCAGTCTCTGTAATCTTTCATATTCATTTCTACCATTACTCATTCTGTTTCACTCCTATACTTGTCAAAACTCTATTGATTCTCTTCACTCATCTTCTTGTCTACCTTTGTGTGCTATTTGGAACGTGGCAACTCGAACTGCTGCACTTCGGTGCCAAGTTCTATGTTGAATCCAGACAGACAGACATCAACTTCTGGAATTTTTCCACAATTTGCAGTTCATTCATCCTATCCAGAGAATACAGCAATACCTGAATATCAAATTCTAACCGCAAAGTATAATGAATATGTTTTTCGCTTATCATAAATCGTTATTCATATTTATATGCTTCAATGATGCACTGTACTACAAATGAAATATGAAAGTTATAATTTTCATCTTTTCATTTTAGCCTTCTTCACTGTTTCCATATTCTGCTTATATGGCTGGTTTAACACGTTCACAAACAGATGAAGACAATAGCTTAAATGATACTCGGTAGGTGGAATACTTCTGATAAGTTATAAACTAATGTATTGTTCTTTTTTACTTTTTATTTAATTTATTGAATGTTTGTTTTTGTATTTCTGTTATTACACAGTCAATTTTTCATGGATGGTGTTGTTCTCAGTGAGAGTGGTTTAAACACCATTAAACAAGCTTTACTTAAAAGTCAACCTAAACGACAATCAAATCAAAGACGTCTGTCAGACCAACAGAACCAGTTGAACACTGATAATGGATGTAAGTTATGATAGATACGTAATAGACATATTCTTGTTTTTTTATTATCTTTTACATCTTGGTCATAAAAAGTGATTTGTAGTTAGTAACAACTGTTAGTGATTGTCAATTTCTTTTTGGGAAGAATATCTTTCATGTATGTGTTGGTTATGGTTCAGTGATCGAAAGCTGGACAACCACCTACGTGATCTCGGGCTCGAATGTCGGCCGACACACTCCTAAACCTAAGCCAGTAGAGTAAGCTCTGTAAAGAGGGAAGGTTGGGCGGGAGACTAGCAACCCCACTCCGTAAAAAAATTCAAAATTCAAGCCTGAAGCATAATGTTCCACTTGGAACACAAAGGTATAAAATAAAAAGAAAACAAATAGTCTTTCATGCTATTGTTTTCATACTAAAAACTCCCTAAATTCATAAGGTTACGTAACTGAATTATTTGAATAACGACTAAAAATCTTTATTTGGAGTCGTTTTCTTCCTGTGATCTGCAATTGCATCTTATCTGTCTACAGGTAATGAAGCAGTCGAATTGATCCACCGAGGGAGAGGGCTCTCGAGTGATTACGCCACAGGATGATACTGCATACTGGTCTCATCTCGCAAGAGACAGGGATAAGTGTGTTTGGTTCTCCTGAAAACCAATACCTAGTCAATAGGTGTACCATTATGTAATAAAGGTTTTTGTATTTCCCAATAAATGAAAAACAAAATGATACATTTTTTACTGACGTTTCGCTATTTAATGCTAATAGCTTTATCAAAGTATTATTAAACCGGAATTTACAAAATCTCAGCATATGTGTAACAAAGAGTTAAGGGTAAGGGGTGAGAAAATAGACTTAGGTCAAGTTAAAAGGACATATTGAAAGTCAAAATAACAATAAAGATCACTAAACCAAATAACAAAGGTAATAGTACGTGTGTTATGATATCAAAACAAAGCTTACTAACTTGATCATCGTTCGGCAGTCTGGGGTCATTTTTTGTTGTCAAGTTGGTCAATTGGTAAAGATAACAAAACCAAGTGTAGATTGTTGGATTTGATCAGTGTAAAATGATAAAAGCAGTGTGTGTTTGCATAGTGAACTTGCTTATCACATTCGTGTTGATTTTGTCACTTGGTGGGGGAGGGAGGTGTTGTAACCAGGTCAATTTCTGTTTTAGTCCATTCTTCCTATTCAGACAATTTGGATTCCACTTGATATGAAGTGCTTCTGATGCTAGACGTTCTTTGTAATTTCTGAAATGCTTTTTCTGGATTATTTCAATATTGTCAAAATCAATTTTATGACCTGATTCTATAGCATGTAGACGTATGGCTGATGATTTTTCAAGTTTTTGCAGTTCAACGGGATTTCTCGGTGGTCGAGCAGATGCTCTACGGTGTTCATTTCTTCTGATTTTGATTTCTCAAGATGTTTGTCCGATGCATGTCGCATCACATTCCAAGCATTTTATTTTATAGAGACAATTAGATAGAGAATCTTTAGGGATCTGGTCTTTTATATGGACAAGGTTGTTTCGCAATGTGTCTGATGTTTTGAAGAAAAACCTAATGTCGAGCTGAATGAGTACTCTTCTGATATCGTCTGACGTCTCTGCTCTATATGGAATGACGACTGTCGAAGTTCATGTTTTCGGAATGCGTTTTCAGCCATACTTGATGTCAGTGTTGATTTTTTTGATGAAGTCCCTTGGTTTGTTGTTTTACTTGAGAGTTTCAGTAATGTTTGATATTTCTTCTTTTTCTTTCTCATCCGTTATCAGAGAGTGTGGTCGTCTAAGAAGACTTAGATATACTTTTTGAATGCTATCTTGACATAGCAGCATATCTCAAGAAGGAATTTAGTTGGATTATGATTTGTCCTTAACTCAACTAGGGCTGTTCATAATATGGCACCAACTCCTAGAGTTTCCACCCTACATTGAAGTGTGCGTTCACTATTTAGAGTAATAGAGATGTTCAACATCTCTGTCTGGGACTAAGTTGTTCTGGATGAGATGACTAAAAGTTGTTGATAGTCACACAGAAGATGTATTCCTTTATGTTTTTCGAAAAAAAATATTTCCTACTCACTTTCATTTTTTGCCTTTTATAATCACTTTAATGCATTGTAATATGATTGCATAATAAGTACCTTCATGCTTGTATGCGCTCTTTCGAAATATGTCAAATGGAACAGATGTGTATATCACAGTGTCAATGAAAGGTGCCTACGTTTAATAATCTGTCTGTCAGTCTGTCTATCTGAAAAGTACTTGTCACTACTGTCTGGCGCGACTATGTTGTATGTAGTCTGACGAAGTGTTATCTTTTTGTTTAGTTGTATGTTTAGAGACTTTCAGTCTATGTAGAGTTGTGTTGTATAGCAAGAGTTATAGAACAAACACACTTGTTATTTGTACTGTTGTAATACTACTACTACTACTACTACTTCATGCATAGTGTTTAGTCTTTTCTATTGGACGAGTGTTTCTGTAACAGAACTCTAATTTAGGAATGAAAGCTGTTAGTAACGATTAGCTTAAATAAAATCATTATTTAATTGAATCGGTTCTCACTTATCAACAAAATATATATATATATATATATATATATATAACATCATAAGTAATTTGTATAGAGTCGATTCAATCTTAGCATAAAGTGAAAAAAATACCTGTTATGACAGCTTTATTAAATTTATATATACTTTTATTAGGCATAAAAAATTAATACCCAAATATTATTATCGTATTGTATGTAATTGAACTAACTAGAGCATGAAAAAGGTATGCATATATCATCAATCAATTTTCACTAACTCGAAATGTTTTTTTTCTATTTTTCTATACTTGTAGTACTTTATTACTCAATAATAGTATTAAGAATGATCACATATATTTCTTATCTTACTTCCTTTTCAGCTTGTTCTTTAGGCGATAGTACACCTGTTGAATTAACGCCTTGTGCACCACATGGACAGGTGAGTTACGCTTCATGTTTACCTATACTGACTGATTTCATATGCAAGGGGAGGGGTGTGGTCTATCATTTGTAACTGATAAATTGTGATGAGGTATTAGCCAGTTACACCAGGCGTTTGATTTTAAACCTTCCTTGTTACATGTATTAATCTTTGGGCTACTGAGCAGTATAACTAACTGGAATTCATTCCTTGAGTTGGGTCGGGTTTTTTAAACTTTTATTGTAAAATGTTGAATCAAACTAGTCAGCTGAACACTTGTAGAGGTTAAAGACTATTTTTTTTAAAGTACCTTTTTCTTATTCCATTATGGGAAAAATTTATTTTCTATAGTTTGGTTTGTAAGGGTTAGTTATGTTTTTACGAGTTGATCACAGATTGATAACAGTTAGAGAAACATTGAAAACCAGCAAGGAGTACTGGACAGCTGCTGTTTCATCCTAGTTTGGGAATCATCGGAAGTACGCACTCACTGCCAGGGTTCGAACCCAGGACCTTCCGGTGTTACAAGGCAAGCTCGTATACCATTCAGCCACTGGGACCCGGTTCAATGGCTCATGAATTCTAACTTCTACCAATTCGTGATTTAGCGCGACCCCAACCATTGTCGTTGGTGGGACATCCGTCCATACACATGACATCTAATTGGACCTCACTGATCACGACTTCTCATTAGAACTCCATGAAACTGATAAAGTCACACAGTCTTAATATTTACTGATGACGTTTCAAGCACCCTACAAAAATCGTTCAACTGTCGGCTAACTAAATGAAATTCAATTAGAGATTAATGAAAACATGGTAAGTTTTGATATAAGCAGGCTCTACACTAATTTCCCAATCAATATGCTCTTAATACATTGGATCCTACTCCAAAAATATGGTGGAGATATGTGGATGACACTTTCACAGTGTTAAAAGCAGAACGTATCTCTAGCTTCTTGCATACATATAAACTCACTAGTAAAGGGAATAAAATTCACATTTGAATAAGAAAGTGAACAAGGAGAATTAGATTGTAAAATAAAACGAAAAGGAGAAGGTAAACTGCACACTAGTGTTTATAAAAATCCAACTCATTCTAATAGATATTTAGACTTTAATTCGTCTCATCCACTATCTGTAAATGCAGGCTTAGTTAAATGTCTAACAAACCGAGTAGTAGCGCTAAGTAGTATAACAAAAAGCCCAAATGATGAAATGAAACAGATAGAAGAAGCGATAGTGTTGAATAACTGCCCTTTAAAATTCACTCGGAAGATCCGAAAAGGTCAAAAGCAAAATAAAAAATAATAGTGAAACTAACAATGATGACGTAAATAAGAAAGAATATAAAGCATCTACAGTTCTACCACATAGGAAGGTGACATTCAAAACCCTACGTAGAATTCTTAATAAAGCAAGAATTAGGATAACATTTAAACCTACAGACTCTCCCAGCGACTAGCTCTGTAGGTTAAAGGACCCAGTTGATCCAATTAGACAAAATAATATAATTTACAAAATACCTTGCAATGACTGTGATCTAAGTCAACTACATAGGTCAAACTAGTAGATAGGGAGTAGTGAGATTATCAGAACATAGGAATTTATCTAGGATTAGAATAACTGACCCCGCGAACATAAATAATTTAGCAAAAAGGCTCAGCAATCGTATTGCATGCTTTAATCCCCAATCACACAATAGCGTAAGTGGGACAGAGTCAAAATTCTAAGAAGTAATATATGTGGGTGAAGAGAGAGATTGATTACTGAATCCCGCTTCATCGAGTCTACACCCATTACATGCAATAGAAGTGACTCAATGCAAAACCAGAGATATGGAAGATACTATTACCAGTCAAATCAGAAGATAGAAAATCAGGCTAAAATTTATTTCAATTCACATTATAACACTCAAAGAAGTAATCTATTTTACTATAAAAACATCTTATTTCCCATCTTATTGACTAACAATACGTCTTATTTCCCATCGTATTATGTTTTATTGATAACATTAATATTATTTCCGAATGTACTTTATCTTCCTGTCTATTGAACTTTTATTGAATTTTATTCATACGTCTGATCAATTGTTTTACTGATGTATATAAACGAAGTTGGAAAGTTGTATGATTACGTTGATGTGATTATGAGTAATAAATTGTGCTCGAAATGTCATCAGTAAATATGTACTGTATAACACTGTGTGACTTTATCAAAATAAAATTTTATTCATAATGGAATTATACTCTACCACAGTGCTCAAGTTTTATCATTTTACCTTTTTTTAACTTGACGTGGGAAACATTCATCTCATCCTATTATTCAATTTGTTTAATATGCATCACCTGTTACACGTATACTTACTTCTCGGTTTCTTTTGGATAATGCTGTTTTTCTAAATGATAATCCGTAAGCTTTCGTCGGAAAACTCAGTGAAGCGTTCTGATCAGATGGCCGGAAAGAATCACCAACAAGAAACTATGGGAACAAACAAAACAAGAACCAATCGCCCAACAAATATGCAGGAGAAAGTGGAGATGGATTGGACACTCGCTGAGGAGGCCGCTGGGTGACATCGCGCATCAGGCCATCACTCGAGTGGAACCCGAAAGGGAAGCGGCGAGTGGGACGTCCAAGGGTGACATGGAGGAGATCGTGTGAAGAGGAATTGAAACAGTATGGATTAACATGGATGCAGGTGAAAAGTATAGCAGAAGACAGAAGCAAGTGGAGACGTGTAGTTGAAGCCCTATGTTCCACTAGGAACCCAAGGGAACAATAATGATAATGATAATAAGCTTTCATCGTGTTTGACGGGGATTTTGCTAAGTCCACATAAATAGTAATGTAATTTTGAAGACTTTTCATGATAATATTGTTAGCGATAATAAAATTATTCAAGAGAAAAGTGAATTGTACACAATCTGTTTGTGATAGTCTAGAATACAAAAAAAGAATTGTGTTCACTTTTTTATTTCCTTACTTTACAGGTTACACCAACTATTAACGAATTGATGGTTTTTAACGCTTTTTTTGGTTTAATTTTTGCATTTCTTTTTGTTTTAGTTTGACGAAGATGCTTCTTTACATTCTGGAGTTGATGCTGAAAACGACTTATCGAATTACCCTGATTGGAAGTCACCTAGTTTACAATCAGAAGAGGATGGTAATAGTTCAGTTCAAGATAGTACAGTAAGTTTTTGTTTTTTTTTTCAAAAATTTTGATCGCGGATTATGATGTCAGTTAGAGAACGATGGAAAATTAGGGTGTACTGATCAGCTGTTTCATCTCAGTTTAGGACTCTTCAGTAGTACTCACTCACGACCTCATTGGGGATCGAACTTAGGACCTTCAGGTTGTAAGGTCAAGCTTGTGGATCATTTAGCCAATTGTTTCATCCAGAATTTGATTGCAGATATTATACTTTTCATTTGAGTGAAATTAATGTTCATGTTAGCAATAAGTGAATATAGAGTTCTTTAGGAAAATTATTGTTGACGATTTATACACTCTCACTATTCAAGATTACAACTTAAAAGGCATAATCTAGTTTGGTATTGATTAATTTGTATATTTCACATCAGGTCATTTTAGTAGTAGAGGTTGCACCTGTTTCTTTTGTACAAAGATTTGACGGTCTGAGCTGAACTGTTACAGCTTCTGATGATTTGGTAACTCATTAACTTAACTAACTCATTTAGCTGTAAAATTTAAAGAGCACGTTGTCGAGATATGTTCCTTTTTTCACATAATATTAGTAATATTAATAACAAACCATATATACACATATAATTTCCTATAGCATATGCTTAGTTTATTGTATTCTCTTATTAATGATTGTTTCAGAAGTCAAAGGGTGTATACAACCGAAAAAAGGTTTAATTGTTGATTGTATTTACACTTTCTGTTTTCATGTTAATAATCATTTTTGTGTTATTACAGTTTCCTGAAAATAATTTTCTTATGATTAGTATTCTCAGTATTTCTTTTGTTGTTGATTGCTTATTCTTATTTTCGTTAAATAAACTGAGTTATTTAGTTGTACTTTATTGATTAGCTACTGTTTTCATCAAATACTGTAGTTATATGGAATTCATGATATTTCGATGATTTCCAATTTCCAATGTTCTTTCAAGAATAATGTGGAGTGTATCAGCTTGAACTGCTACACTTTTGTGTGAAGTTCTAGGTTGAAAACTAAGACGCTCTCATTCTTTCTCTCTCTCTCTCTCTCCAGTGATATAATATCCTATCGTTTTTCATAATACTATTATTATTATTGTTATTGTTATTAATACCACTGATAATTCTTATTACCTGTGGACAGGACTTCCTCCTCCTCCTCTCTCTCCCTATACATATACATATATATATCGAAGGTAAATCACTTCAGTTTTCAACGGTACTTATTCGAAAATTGTCGATGCTAATTAGGTCACTGTGTAGAACACATTCCTGTTGATGTTATATCATCGTTGTTTATACAAGAAGCCGATCATCCAGTCGGTGGGAATTAACATTATTCAGTGGTTAAAGAATACTTCGGTGGCATAGCCGTTTGGACGCTGGCCGACCATGCACATGGTCCGGGGTTTGATCCCCGGCCGACGCACTTCTTTACCTCGCTAAGCCAGAAATAATGTTGGTAAAGAGGAAAGGTTAGGCATGATGCTACCAACCCCATCCTGTAAAATAAACACTGCTAGAGAAACTTCAAGCCATTAGCTTGAAGCCCTATGTTCCACTGGGAACGTGAAGGAAAAAAAGTGGTTAAAGGCTGTTGTCACGAATGCTTGGATCTTACTTTCTACGAGCATCTTGTTACAGTACTTAAATTAATATGTATATATGTATGCATACCCACAAAGACTTCTCAGATTGCCTCAGTACTAATAATTCATTCTCAAATTCAAGTGATTCTTTAGGTTTTCTTATGGACATGAGATATCGCTTCCTGTTTGTATGAAAGTTCCTAATTGTCCTTTATTTTCCTCTCTCTCTCTCTATATATATTCAGCGTACATCGATGTGTATCAGTCGTACCAGTTCGACTGGTTCTGTATCAGCGAACGGTAAAATTACAACAAACAATTCGAAAAATAGTCGATATCTGAAAAATTTGGGTATTGGTGGATTTCGAGCAAGACCAAGTCGTGGACAGCAAGTACGTTGTTGTTTCAATTTATGATTAGATGTTTTTTTTTTTTAAAATTCAAATTATAAATGTAGTACACTGGACTTTTATTTCACAGTATAACAAACTCTTTCCCCGTATAATTTTAAATTTAGGCGAAAAAAATACAACTCGCGGCATCGTCAGATCCTTTTGTTGGCCCACCAGCGTCGGATAATAAACGTCGTCGTCAAAACAAGAAGAAATCTCAATTGGAAGATAGTTATCCTGATTATTTGATGAAAGCTTTCTATGGTGCTAGCTTACTTCTAGTCAAAAGAAAACCACTAAGAAAAAAGAGAAATCGTCTTCGTCCAGGTGGATCCGATTCCGTTATTGGAGCCAAACAATACAAAGGGGGATTTTCTCCTTCATTTCGTCCTTCAAAACAGACAAAAGTAAGCAGTTGGGAATCAGATTTCAAATTGATAAGGAATATTTGTAGCTCAAGTTGTTAATTTTTTAACATAGTTGTTCTTAGTTGAGCTGGGGTTCACGGGAAGATGCAGCGTTGATACACCGTTAACGGTGTCTGGTGTGACATTAGAGCATCTGCTAACCGAAACCTCAGCTATAAGCAAATTAAGTCCTTTTTTTAATCGTTTTTGTAGTGATCTCATTGCTTCCTTCCTGTTTACATTTGCCATTCATTTTATTTTCCGAATGTAGACCGGTGTAAATGTAAAGAAAAGTAATGCTGCCCGCCTTGGGAATCGAACTAAATCGGAAGACTCGGGTCTTGATACAGAATGGATAGAATCAGGATCGAAGGATGAAGAATTTGATAATGCCACTGAAGAACTTGATGAGGAAGATGACATTGATGATGGTGATGAAGAATATGATGAAGATGATGATGTGGATGGCGATCTGTGTGATTTTGATGAACTGAAAGACATTGAAGATGAAATGGACAATGAAGCTTTGGATCTTGAGGAGGATGAAGACATATCAGCTACACTGAACTCTGCTACTCACCAGTTAACTGAAAGAGTTTCTGAAATAAAAATGGCTGAAAGTTCAGCAGATTCAGATTTAATAAGAACACGATCAGACACCACACTGGCGGATAGTTTGGATACTAATGTGTCTCGAGAGTCTTTTGCGTTGAACTACACTAGTAGTCAAACTCCATCTACGAAACCTCAGCCTTCGGTTAATTCCACTGTTCGTGACAACTACCAGATATCTTCAACGAGTGCTGATCAGCTAAGTCCAAAATCACAAAATTTGGTTACCCCACTGGATCCTTCCACTGAACTTGGGTCTAATCAGCCAAGTCATGCTCCAAGTGTACTGCATTGTTCGGATAAGGAACTCGAACAACATGTTAACTTGTCATCGTCTACCCATTTACCTCAGGAGCAATCATCCGATCTATGTGTAACTACCAGCGTAGCAGGACCAAGTGTGAATTCGATTCCACAAGCTGCCACTCCAGCCGGTAAGCTTTATTGGTATTTCTTTAAAACTATTCATTATTGAATTCTGTTTATTTCGCCATAGGAGTGTGCAACAGTAAAAGTAGGTTGATATCGTACTTAACATTATCCAACAGTCAGGTAAAGACAGCTGAAGAGTATTTGTACCTATCAGTTTCTGTAAAAGAGTACTGAGTAGTTCTGATTTTACCTATCTAATGCATTTTCAAGACTACGAGACCAATACACATGACTGCGAACTAATACTATGTTGCATAGAAGAGCGTTTGATTCCTAGTCATTGTCGCACGGAGATGTTGGAGAATGTCGGGTTATATCGTAGTTTATATTCTCCATGAGTATACAGAGAGAGTGAGTGAGAGTAGGAGAGATAATGAAAACCGTATGTTCTCAAAGCCTGACAACTTTGTGTAGGCAAATATTTCACTTCGATAGCAAACTGTTCTGCTTGGAAGCAGGATTTTCCCCACTTCTGATGACTACTGATTAATGAATCAACGGAAAGCTTTGTACAATTGGGAAGAGTATAGAAAATAGAAAAAACGGGAATTAAAGTTAACACAGTAGACAAATGTTAGTGTGAGACAAGCATTCCCTGTCCTCGTAGTTGATTGTATACTAGGCTTCCATCAATACAGTTTTAGGGTCTAACACGTTCTTGTATCGTTAACCTGTAACCAGAATCGTCTCACTACAGAAAGCATGACAATGCCGTCATAAGGTAAAAATCTTAGCAGCTAACCCTATATAATTGAGTGCTTCGTTATATTACTGATCCTTTTTATGGTATAAACGTATTAATGTGTTTCATGCATGAAATCGTGTTTATATCTGTATATTTACTGATACACCATTTTCCATATCCCGGAAATCTTCAATAAGATTTATTTATTCATTTATTTTGATTACAGCTTGATACCACACCGTATTTTCAGTACAAGTATGGAATTTTCAGCATGGATATCGGTAGCCCAAATTTTGCAGGCCGACCATAGATATCGGGTGTGCGTCGGTAGGGGATCGAACCCCGGACCATGTGCATGGTCGGCGACAGTCCTAACCACTGTGCCACCGACGCACATTGAATCATTCTCCTTATCACACACCCATCTTAGTCTACTCTAGTATTATTTTTGTCTATTTTGTTATTTTATGTACTTTGTGGAAGTGTAGCAACTTAAACTGGTTCAATTGTGGGATCCACCGGCCATTCTCTGATAGCAATATTATTTCCATATATGTAATTTTTTCAGTATTTATGAAATTATTGAATGTATCTTGATAAGTTGCTTTTTCTTCTCATAAACATCAGGCTTAAATGAAGCTGCTGATCTTATGTTCATGGATGATTATTTGTTTGGCTTTGGAGACTTAGCTACTACAGAAGAAACTGATTTAAATGACATTACACCACAACAAGTGTCTACAGATCATGTAACAAATCAACTTCAAAATCCTAATCATTTACCAGTGGGACAGCCATCAAAGAATTCGTTGAAACAGTCAGCTTCAAATAATGAAAGTCCTGTTCATCATGTATCATTCATTCACTCTCAGAATAATCAACATTCTCAACCAATGGAAAGCTTTCCAGTCACTGAAAAAGTTGTCTATCAGTCAGAGATTTCAGAGTCTGTAAGAATAAAAGAGTCCAGCAATTCGGAAGGAACGTGTTTAAAGCAGTTTGTTGCTCAACAAGATTTAATAAATCCGCCTTTTGATAATCACAGTCAACAGCATCACCATACCTCGGTGAATAAGTCTCTCTATGAGAAGGCAGAATATAATTATCCATCTTCTGCGTATTCTCAAATCATGGACGATCAACATCCAAGTAACATTCAGCGTAATTTAATTGCAGAAACACCGCAGTCACATCTGCTTAGTCAAGAGCAACAGGTTTGTAATCATATATATATTTCTTAAAGGGAAATCGGTAAATTTTTTAAAGACTTATCTTCATGGTCAGTTCGTCAAGCGTCTTGGCCCCATTAGCTAAGTCCTCACTCTTTATAGGATCTAGAATCAATGCGATCTGTTTTGGGGGCTTGAGTTCTACAGTTGCTCTTTGTTACGACCAAAGCTTACAAGTATACTAACTTTAGTGTTTTATTGTGACAGGGAAGGCGTTAGATTAATGGTGTCAAATTGGTGTGACGTACTCTGACTAAAACATTGTAATTCTCAACGCATTTTATTTGAGATGACAGGGCTAGTTCAATGGATTACGATAAATTAAATTAAATTAAAAATTCCGCGGAAAACTTTTGTGTTGAAGAATTGTCAGTGTTTTAAATTGATGTTGGATAGTTGGAGGTAGTCGACAGAAAAACCTCGACGTAGGTTTTATGCTCACTGGGACTATTTTTTTTGGCAAGCTGTATCTCAAACTCCGATAGAATCGGTGTCAATCCGGTGGTTTGAACCTGCACCACCCAGTGCTGCTATCAGAAACTTCACCCCAGAGTTATTTGGGTTATGGGTGACCTACTGTGTGCCTGTAATGAGCACAGTGGTCAATTGTTGCAAAGTAACCACCTTCAAGTGTCTATTATTTAGTGTGAGTGCTAACCGGATTCGTGCAACTGTGGTGCAATTTAAGATGTCAAATTGCTAAATCCTTGAACTTAGCTGTTCTGCGATTGCCGTTGCAGTGATCTTTCGCATTCGCCACTCAGTGTTTATTGCGGTTTTAATTTAAGTATTGCACTGTCTCATACTTCATGCAATATTTAATTGGTTCTATTTCATACTTTCAGGTTCGTAAAACGGGATCTCACATAATTAACGATCCTGCTGATGCTTCATTGGATCAGTTAGCTAATTCTACTGATGTATACCACCCTAATAGTGCAGTTATGGGTTCATATAATTTATCTTCCCGTGAAACACCCAGTAGCCATGATCCTGTGTCTTCAAGAAATGTCCCTGTACCTCATCCTCGTCATTGTGTCAATACTCTAACAGGTAATCTACCTGAATTATCTGTTAGTGACATTGAAACACAACTTGGACCTTCTACAGGTTTTGAGCTTAGTGAACCTACTCTAGCTGATGATAGTCCAAAATCAATCATACAAAATACTGTTTTCAATAATGATTTGAGTACAACACCTCCACCCTCGGAGATGTCTGTTCAACGTATACCACAACAACGTCAAAATATAATCCATTCAAATCCTGATCCAATTAGGCAACCCTATTCCCATCGTCCAGTAGAACAATGTTTAGAATATCAATCAAGCAATCAACCAGTCAATATACAACAACATCAAATATCTCGCTCTTCTCTTGTTACAGTTCCTATTCCTCAGAATCAGGTCCGACCGATGCAGCAGCAGCAGCAACAACAACAACAACATGTTGATTCCCAAGGTATATTTTTAAAAATCATTTATTGTAATTTTCTTTTCTATACTTTTACGAGTTGATCACGGACTGATATCAGTTAGAGAACCATTGAAAGCCAGCAAGGAGTACTGGACAGCTGCTGTTTCATACTAGTTTGGGAATCATCGGCAGTACGCACCCACTGCCAGGGTTCGAACCCAGGACCTTCGGGTTACAAGGCAAGCTCGTATACCATTCAGCCACTGGGACCCGGTTCAATGGCTTATCAATTCTAACTTCTACCAATTCGTGATTTAGCGCGACCCCAACCATTGTCGTTGGTGGGACATCCATCCACACACGTGACATCTAATTGGACCTCACTGGTCACGACTTCTCACTAAAACTCCAGGAAACTCCATCCTGTAGCAAGTCAGTCACTAGCGAGCATCAGATTAATTTTCGTAAGACATAACTAACCCTTACAAACCAAACTATAGAAAATTTTCTATACTTGTTGATTATTTCTCACTGTCTGGGTTAACTCGCTAAGCAGCAGTTGAGTTTATTTCATTTCTTCGCATATTTAGAGCTTGTTATAAAAGTGTTTCTATCTCACCTAAATCCAATCTTATTATTATTATAATTATTAATAATAATAATCGGAGTACAGTTGTTATTTTTTTTATGGAAGGTGAATATACTGCTATGAATATTTTTTTGTTTTGCCTTGATCACCTAGAGATGGTGTACTGTCTGTCTATGAATAAAATTTTTAGGGTTGAAAAATGTTAACGAGTAAATTTCAAACAATTTTTTTGCTATAATCCTCCAGCTCTTTTTTAAATAATGACGATACAAAATTATACATCAGTATAATATAGAATTACGAGAGATGAATACTTTTTTTTCTTTCTTCTTCTAATAGAGTATTTATGCCTTAGATAATTTTATTAGTATTATAGTATTGATCAATTATTCAGTAGTAAATTGTGAGTTTGTATAAAGATTCAAAATATTTGATTCAGATTCCAAGTAGGCGTATTCGCTTACTTTTTAACTTTATTGATGGTTAATATCTGATATCTTTTGTATTGGTTGTTTTTATAGTAGCGTACACGTATAGGCATAACTGATTTATCTGTGTAAATAGTGATATATATATTCATTCATTTTGGAACATTAATGTTTATAAAAGATACTTGTATTATTTATAGGTGGTCGAGTACAAATTCGAGGTTCACAACCATCATACTTCTATGCTCATGTTGTTCCCGTTCCTGGACGTGTATTGACTCAGTCTCAAAAGCAACAACCGCCACCACCACCACCACCACCATCGCACCAACAAATTCAACGTCAGTCTAATTCACCTATAGTTTTACAAAGTCCAATTCCTCAACCAGTACAACAACAACAACAACAACTACAGCAGCAGCAACAACAACATCTTTCAGTGGTTGGTGGACATGGGAAATTCATCTCTCAACCTTTACAACCTAAATCGCCGAACACAATGACTCCTCCCCCTCCACCACCATATCCTTCTCAAGTGATAAGACCTGGAATGTGGCAACAGCAACAACAACAACAGCAGCAACAGCAACAACAACAGTCTCATTCACGTTTAATTTCTACATCCAACCAACAAGGTGCTATTATGCTCTCTCCTACTGGACAGTGTCTAGTTCCTCAGGCATCGAATTCAACCCAATTACTTATGTCATCTCCACAATCCAATGTCACTATGGATACTCAACATATTATTCCAGTTTGTTGTCAACAAAACACTCCAGTTGAATATCTACAGCGTTCGTGTGTATCACATCCTGTGCATGGTTCCAGTGGACTTCAACGGACCCCACCAACACAACAAATGATTGTACATGGTGGACAGAATACATTGCACAACCAACCTGTACATGTTTATCAAACTGATCATATAACTTCACCGAATTCTCGACAATACACAAATCATCCGAATTCATTATCTCCGCATGCTACATCTGGTGTTCTTCGTTTTAACAGTGGTTCTGAAGAAGTTATCTTAAGGTGTTCTACTGAATTACAAAGTCCTTGTAATATGCCTAATCCTAGTAAGTTTTTATTTGTCAAATGTGTTATACTTGAATACGATTAGTCTTTCTATAGTATAATGTTGTAAATTAAACTTTTTGTAATATCTTATTAGATAAGTTTATTTTGATTATCACACAGCGATGCAGTATTGACAACTGAATGACGTTTCGAGCATAAATTACTTTTTAGTCTGTTTTAGTCTAGACTAAAATTAATATGATTATGAGCAATAATTTAAGCTCGAGACATCATCCAATTGTTAATACTGCATCACTGTGTGGTGTTTAAAATAAACTTATTTAATATGGAATCGTGACCAGTAGGGTGCAGCAGGTCGGGTGTGAGGACAAATACTTGCCGGAGACATTGGCTAGGGGTCACGCTATGTCGTGAATTCGCAGTTGTCATTCATGGACTGGCCATTCGATCGGGTCCCAGTGGCTTAATGGTATACGAGCTCGCTTTGTTACCAGAAGGTCCTGGGTTAGAGCCCCGGTGGTTGCGTACTGATGAAGAGTCCCAAGCTAGGACGAAACAGCTGTCCAGTACTCCCATGTGGTTTTCCAATGGTTCTCTAACCAATGTCAGCTCATGATGAAATCCTGTAACTAATATGGAATCATTTATTCTAGGTCTAGCTAAATTATTATGTTTCAGTAATCTAGTTGACCCCGATCTACTAGTTTGAACTATGTAATTGTCCTCACAGTTAATACATGTTATTTGGTAAATTATATTATTTTTCTTAATTGGATCTATTGGGTCCTTAAGCTGACAAAGTTTATCTCTGAGAGAGTTGGTTGGTTTAAACGCCACCCTAATTCCAGCGTCTTTGAGAATCCTACGTATGACCTCTGACGTTCCTTCTTTATATAGCAGTACTGCAGAGGCTTACGATTCTATATTATTTTCACTATATTTTTATTGCTAGTCTTAGTTTTTCTATTATTTATTATTATTTCCTTTAGTTCCTAGAGGAACATAGGGCTTCAGCCATGCGTCTCCTTTGCGTTCGGTTCTCTGCTAGAGTTTTCACCTGGCTCCAGGTCTGCCCACATGCTTTCATCTCCTCTTCACATGATCTCCTCCAGGTCACCCTTGGGCGACCAACTCGTCGCTTCCCTTTCGGGTTCTACTCGAGCAATGGCTTGTCTAGTGATGTCACTTGATGGTTTCCTCAGAGTATGGCCAGCCAATCCATCTCCATTTCTTCCTGCCTATTTGTTTCACAATCGGTTCCTGGTTGGTTCGCTCCCAGAGATCTTTGTTGCTGATCCTTTCCGGCCATCTGATCTTGAGTATTGAGCGAAGACATCTGTTAATGAAGGTCTGTAGCTTGTTTGAGGTGCTCTTTATGACGCGCAGTGCAAGTCTCTGATCCGTATAGTAGTACTGACTTCACATTGGAGTTGAAAATCCCGATCTTATTTTTGACGCTGAATACTGTTGACCTCCACACAGACTTGAGAGTAATGAAGGCTTGTCTTGCTTTTCCGATTCTTGCTTTGATATCCTCGTCAGTTCCGCCTGTAGTTGAAACAATGCTTCCCAAGTAGGTAAAGGAGGTAGTTTCTTCCAGGTTCCTTCCATTTATGCTGATTGCTGTCTGTTGTTGTTGCTGTTGGTGTTGGCCAGGGATCTTCATCACCTCCGTTTTCTCTATGTTCACCTGAATGAAGTCCTTTCTTCTCTGGATGCTTGTTCTGCCAACTTGTTACTTTTCACTTGCATATCTTCCAGTTTGTGGGAAATCAGACATATATCATCGGCGAAGTCGAGATCCTCCAAGTTCTTTGTGTGAGTCCATTTTATGCCTGTTTCCTCATTGCCCGCTGTCTGTCGCATTATCCAATCTACTGCAATCAGGAAAATCATTGGCGATAGTAGGCAACCCTGTCTTACTCCTGTCTTCACTTCGAAGGATTCCGTAGGCTTCCCGTTGTGGATTACTTGGCATGCAGCGTTGTCATACAACTGTTGGATGAGATGTATAATTGTCGGCGGCACCCCGTAGTAGCGAAGTAGTTTCCAAATCACCTCTCGATCGACGCTGTCGATTGCCTTTTCAAAGTCGATGAAGTTGAGATAGAGAGGTTACTGCCATTCCAAACTTTGTTCAATGATGATCCGTAGTGTGGCGACTTGATCAATACATGACTTTTTTCTCCTGAATCCAGCTTGTTCTGGTCGAAGTTTTTCACCCAGGGCTTGTTTGATCCTTTCCAGGATGATGCGGCTTAGTATTTTGCTTGGGATGGACAGGAGCATAATTCCGCGCCAGTTCTTGCATTGACTTAAGTCTCCTTTCTTTGGTAGTTTGAATAGGTATCCTTTCTTCCAATCCTCGGGTACTTTGCCTTCTTTCCACACCTTCTCCAGTAGTGGCGTCATCAAGTCTGCTGTTGTCTCTGGGTTCACTTTCAATGCTTCTGCTGGGATTCCATCTGGTCCTGCTGCTTTTCCAGCTTTCAGCATCTTGATTGCCTTCAGGACTTCTGTTCTCCTTGGGGGGTTGATGTTCACTGGTAATTCTGCTTCCGTTGTTGGTATTGTTGGGCGCGTTGTAGGTGGCGGTCGGTTTAGTAGTCTTTTGAAGTGTTCAGCCCAGTGTTTCCTTTGCTCCACTTCTTTGGTGATTGACTTTCCATTGTCATCCTTCACTGGCTTAATTTGTGACGAATTTTTGCCTGAGAGGTACCTAGTTGTTTGGTAGAGTTTTTTTATGGTTCTCCATATATTTCTGAACAAATTCTAGTAGGTAGTTATTCACTAGTAATACTTCCCTTATTTGTTTGATTTCATTATTTAAATCTTCTGGCTTGCTAGTTGCTAAATAGATGACAGTAATGACAACAACAATGTGAATGTACCTTGTTCTTCCAAATGAATATTCCTAAAGTGCAATTAGTGTAAAAGTATACCAACATACTACTCATAACATGTTGAGTGAAATAGAGTTTTGTCAAATGAAAACTAACGGCGGCTATACCAATTAATGGCACAAGTCTTTCATATCACTGTTCATTTTTCTATGCTGTGTAGTTTCTGAGGTTGAAATTCATGAAGAAACTGTAACTGAAGGTGGTTGGTGTTTAATTGAAAACCCATCACAATGACCTACTGTATTCATATCTAATTGTTCAAATTGAAATATCATTTATTTTTGTCCAGTTTACCTTTTGACATGATTAGACTAGACTAAAATCTGCTGATTAAAACTCTCGATAACTAGTCAAAATAGAAACTAACTTAGAAGTTGGTCCGTACACTGAAGTTGATAGAACACTAAACTGATAACGCCTAAACCGTTGACTGAGATTCTGCTTGGAATTAGATTTGTTTAAGAATTCACTCAAAAGAACTCATTAAATTAAAGTTACTTTGGTTTTGGGGAACTATTTCATCTAATTTTGCTAACATTATGGAGAAGTAAATAGACACTAGGTGGATATTAATGAAAGATGTTGAAGAAAAGAAGCTAAAACGAGTTAATTTTTCTCTATAAGGTGCGAAGTTTGACGATTTCAAATTTGGTGGATTAATATTTTATGATGTAGGCAACTGTGCAAATGACTGACTGGTTGGTTTCGACACAGAACACAGTTACCACACTCCATATAGCAAATAGTGGAAGAAAAAAGAGAGAAAAGAAGGAGAAACATTAGGGTTTAGTGGTTATGACAGATCACAAAGAATGGATGCATCTGTGCCACTGAGAACGATTTTGAGCCATGTCACCAATTGTCTGCAGTCACTGATTCTTAGAATCCCGAGGATCGCAACCATGAAGCCTGCAACTCCCTACATGGTTCGAACTAACTTAAAAATTTTATGGACGGATGGCATATTTTGGTTTGCCCATCACTAGCTCTTTTCCAACCTTATCCCATGTCCGCTAACATTGCCCGTCGAGGAAAGCTATGGCTTGGCATACGTAACACATGTCCTAACCATCTCATTCAATGTAGCTCCACAATCTTATCGATTGGCTTTCCCTTCCTACCTAATACGACGTCTAACCTCAATATTGCTCACCCTACTAGACCATCTAACATAGGAGATAAAGCACAGATACCTATGACCATGCGTCGGTGGCAGAGCGGTTAGGACGCTCGCCAACCATGCACATGGTCCGGGGTTCGACCCCCGGCCGGCGCACTCCTTTACTTCGCCAAACCAGAAATAAAACTGTTGAAGAGGAAAGGTTGGGCATGAGGCTAGCAACCCCATCCTGTAAAATAAACACTGGTACAGAAACTTCAAGCCACTAGCTTGAGGCCCTATGTTCCACTGCGGAACGTGAAGGAAAAAAAACCTGTGACCAAATACAACTGAACGGATGATGTAACCCCCCCCCCCTTAAAGGATTGTCTTTATGTATCTCTGTGTTGTAATCGTTTTTTTTCAACTTCATTATACAGTTAACTCTAACTCATATTATAAATTTATCTATATATAATGTTTTTCAGACTTAATGAGATCACCCATCATTGATGGGAACGCTCATCATGTTTTAAATCGTTCAAATCAACAAAACATTCTACCTTGTTCAGCATCAAACAATGCACAAGTATGTCTATCTAGTTCGAATTCGAATACCTCGGGTTCGGCTAGCAGACGAATTAATTATCACAAATGGGAAGAAGATGAACGTTTAGGCGGTCAGTCAACTATTGCTCCAGTATTGCACGCAAATATATCACATCCTACATTACGCGGTCAGTATCCAGAATTTACTGTTCGTGCTAAAGAAATAAGTAAACTGTGGCGTCGACTTTCTAGTGAAGAACGTGGAACTTGGGTGGTAAGTAATTATTAGTTTATATTTAATTGATAATAGTACTCATAATATTAACTTTGATTCTTTCAGTTGATTGTCTGTTTGAGTGTAAAGTAGTGCGAATAATAATATTTAATTACTTGGTTTATAGATACAAGCTCGTAACAATCGAACAACATTACGTTCAAATCAAACTAATATTCCTACAACTATGGCTTCCGGAGGAGGGACCGTTAACACAATATCACCTACACAACCATACTGTCAAACTAATACATTGGCAGATCAGACAGTCTCTTTACAGTCTGGATCAGATTTGTCTTATGGCTTAGAATCTCCTTCAACTTACAATCCTCATCCTCAAAATCGTACACCTCATCATATGCAGTCGTCTGAACACCAAGGTGTTGCACATTCTCCACAACAGAATCTTCTACATCATCATCATCCTCATCACCATCAACAACAACACCAGCAACAACAGTTACCCAGTCAATCATCTCAGCAACAACTACAGAGTCAACAACAACAACAACACCAGCAACAACAACATGTTATTCAGACGAAAGAATTGCATAGTTCACTAACCACTGAGTCTTCAAATGGTAGTAGCTATATTCAGGAGCGCAATATACCATCTCATACACCATCAACTTCTAGCATTGTCGATCCCACTGTTCCTTATCATCCTTCCATGTGCAATCAAACTTTAACCAAGGTAATTATTTGTGTGTCTGTTGATCATTTTCTTTCTTTCTAAGGATATATATGTGAATTATTCATCAATCCTAAATTTTTACAATTAGGATAGACAATGGTTTTCTTAATACTTTTAAGCTTTGCTTGCATACTAGAAGTGTATAAGCGTTTATTGCATACAGACTGCTCAAACCTTTGAAGTTGATTTATTCTTTCTGAAACAGAAAAAGTATTAGCGTTGCGCTACTGAAAAGCGCAGAGGACAGCTGCTTGATGCCAGTCACACAGCCTGTTTGAAATGGATTTTAGAATTGTGTTCGTATGAATATCTTGCTGTTGACTATGGTAGATTGAGATATACGATTTCCGACGTTACTCTTTTCTAACCTCCTCATTGCAGTGCGAAGAGGAAGCATAGCTGTCACATCCCCTATTTGTCAGCAATACAACTTTACCCTCAACTCTTCCTTCCCCCCCCCCCAAACACAGTGTGTGGTTGACTTACATTATGATGGTTACTGCTTGTATACCAACCACTATCCAAAGACGTTTCTGGCATGATAGAAGCTTTTGGAACACATACTCCAGGCAGTCTAGCTTGTGGGATCATTGCGATATGCCATCTCGACCACCACGTTAGAGTAGCAGCTACCAACAGAAACGAATACACTATAGTCACAAATAGTATTCATTATGACTTCTTACAGGGGTAGTGTTGTATTACTAAGTAATCAGATTTTGTTTAGCTTAGTTCCTTTATAAGAAGGGAAATTGTCCAATAGAGGTTGGATAATATGCAAGAGGTAAAGTACTGTACTTTGACGATCGATATTGAATCGATTTTTATTCAGTTTTTGAGAAAGTTATTTTCATTGGCTTCTCTATGTATTTGTGAAGTGTGATCGTCAATGGATATTAAGGAATGCATTAATCTGTCAAATAATAGGATTTACTTTGTATTAAGATCCATTGGTCATCCTAGAAAATATATGAATGTGTAACTGTGGCGTAGACGCGATATCCGACTATCGACCAAAGGGCGTGTGTACTACCCAGCAGTCCGCTCCGTCCTCCTTTATGGCTGTGAGACCTGGCCATTGAGAGTGGAAGACATGAAAAGATTAGTTGTCTTTAATCATAGGTGTCTGCGTTATATCACCCGTGTGAAGTGGCATAATAAGGTGAGCAATATTGAGGTTAGGCTACGGTCGAGTGCTAGGTAAGGCGGGGAAATCAATCGATGAGACTGTGAAATTACATCGACTGAGATGGTTAGGACATGTGCTACGTATGTCTAGTCATCGCCTCCCTCGACAATGGGCAATGTTAGCTGACATAGGGTCAGGCTGGAAAAGAGCTAGCGGCCGTCAAACGAAAACATGGCACCAGTCAATGAAATCCACAACAGTTAGTCTAACCCACGTAGGAAGGTGTAGACTTTCTGGTTGGGGTCCTCGGGACGGTAAAAACCAATGGTTGGAAACAATTGGTGACATGACTCAAAATCGTTCTCAATGGCTACCGCAGATGCATCCACTCCTTGTGACTTATGATTTCCAATGAGACTATATTGTTCTTCGTTACTACCATTCCTTTGTCTCACACCTCTGTTTACTGTCTATATTATGCATTTCTTCTACTTTCTTCTCTTGCTTTGTGTGCTACAAGGAGGGAGTTTGGCGACTTGAACTGCCGCACATCGGTGCAAAGTTCTATGTCGAAAACGGACCGACCAACTGTGGGGATATCTGTTTTTTATTGGTTGTGTAGAAGAGTGTACTATGTCACTTGTAGCATAGAAGAATAGGGTCCGTATGTTTCAAGCATCCCTACGGATTGTTCATTTTTTTGACGGGTTACGTTTTTCTAACGGTAGTGGTATGCTGACAGCTTCACACTACGTTTAGATTTTCAATCCACCTGATTGTCTATTTTACATAATTGTTCTGAAGTATGCGCTTACATTGGGAATTTCACATTGAGAATGAAGTTATCTAAATATGTTTCTTTCTTTCTCACTTGTATTTCACAGGCACCTTCAAATCAGAGTTTGTCCTTCTCCAGTACTGAGCTGAATACATCTGCTGGTAGTATACCAACTCACCAAAACTCCCAACAAGTGCCCGGATTAGCAACTCAGTCTCCTGGATCTTCTTATTTATCGTCACCAGTTAACTCTAGACCTCCATCTCGTCATCAGACTTCGTTACCACCACCTCCTCCTATCTGGCCTCCATCTGGAAATGTGAATTCAGTGAATACTGGCTCTGCTGGCGTAAATTCACCTAGTAATTTAAAACAGCCAACTCCACCACCGGCTTGTTCTTCAGTATCTCCTGCACCAATAAGATCCCCTGCATCAATACATGCTCCAACTCCGACTTCTTTTCATGCTCCCCATCCATATCCACCGCATGGTACAAGCTCATTGACAAGTCCAGCACAGTCACCTGTTCCTCCTCAATCTCCCTCAAATATTAACCAGTTGATGAGGAATAACAACACTGGGACTGTTACACCTATGCCATCACCACATCCTTCACCGGTGTCTCAGTCTCATCATACAAATTTGCCTAGCAGTCATCACATTTCATCTCAGGTAAGTACAGTTTTTTAATGAATTACAGTTAACCCGTTTGTTAATTCACTATGGATGCTTTTTTTAACCCAGTTATTAATATATCTTGTTATCACGTACAGGGGAATTTTTAAACGTGAATAAATCAATATATATAGCAAAAATATTCATTCAGACATCTATAAAACACAAAATAATGGAGCAAAGAATATTCTTTTCGATAAATTCCTCTTCCAGGCTCTACAATTATATATATGTTTATATACACAGAATATTTTAAATTAGTAGTTAATAACAATATTAGCGTTTTTTAAAATAATATCGATTTGTAAAGTATGATCAATACTATTACAGTTCATTAAAGATGCTTAAATTATAATAATAATAAAGATATAACAGCGAATAGAATATCAACTAAAATTAGGGAAATTTTACAAAAATTCTGGATTATTCAAACCTGGAGGCCAAGGTAATGATAATGACTGAACTAACTTCTTTTGGGTGCATAAATTAGGCTTATTAACATGAATCCCCACAGCCTCAGCAATATTTAGAAGTCGAACTCTTAAGGCGAAATTGAGATTCGTATGTATGCGGTAAATGACCCTGAAAGCATGATTAACGTCAATCTTGTGTTCTGTCTCCACAAGATGCGCCAGAATAGCACTGCGAATAGATTTTGTTTGACCTTTGCTTAACCAGGCAGGGTGATGTTTGGAAATTCGACGAGAAACACGCCTAATTGTACGGCCTGTGTAACTGGCTCCACAGAAGCAGTTAAATTGGTATATACAAATCGATATTATTTTAAAAAAAACGCTAATATTGTTATTAACTACTAATTTAAAATATTCTGTGTATATAAACATATATATAATTGTAGAGCCTGGAAGAGGAATTTATCGAAAAGAATATTCTTTGCTCGATTATTTTGTGTTATATATATATATATATATATATATATATATATATATATATATATATATATATATATATATATATATATATATATATAGTTTCTTCTGTTGATTGAATGCATTGCATATTATTACACTAGACTATGAACTAGACTTATCGTATGATTACTAATTGCTCTACCAGATAGTGACCTCTGGTTGTATTGTGCTTTTACAATAATTACACTTTTGTCGAGTTACGTTGATCTCATTGTCTTTTTAAGTACCTTTTCTGATTATCTCTGGTGTAATCCGTACTTATTACTAATTTCTTTCTTATTACTATTTTTAGTCTTCGGTCCCTTCAGAAAGTCCAGGTGGTCGACAACAGGTTCATTCGTTTGCTGCTTCTCATCCTGCTACTCCGGGTACACCTAACAGTCAGCAATGTGCTCCAGGAAACACATTTTCAGCCCCTGCTACTCCTGGAACCGGATCATCCCCTGGTAATGTTGGTGTACTGTGTCATTCTGTTCCAACAAATCCAGGCAATGTTTTTGTTGTCGGTAGTTCAGGAATGCATAATAGTAGAATGCCTTCAGAGGATGCTCCGCAGACTGTTCCTCCATCAAATATCCTTTCCCAGTCTTCAAACACTGAACATGTATCATCTTCAGTAGCAGTGATTGTTGATCAAGGCTCATCTTTAAATTCCTATCCTGGTTCTCATCCACAGTCTCATGCACAGCAAAGTAACTATTCTGGTACGGATTTGGAACGCCAGCGTCTTAAAGAAATTTTAGCTAAGCAAGTACATCAACGTCAAGTTCAACATCAACACAATCAGCAGCTTATGCAACAACAACAACAACAACAGCAACAACATCAGCAACAGCAGCAGCAACAACAACAACAGCATCACCATCAACAGCAGCAACAACAACTCCATCTTATTCAACAGGAGCAGGAACATGTAATGCCTCGTCATCCTCATGCTCAATCCAGTGTGGGACCGCAAGGTGGTTCATGTTCAGGACTTGTTTATTCATCTTTTAATCAATCCAGTAACATTGTTCACCAACAACTCAATGAATCACACGGGCAGTCATATAGTAACTATATTAGTAATCCTGTATGGCAACAGCATACTGCAGTCCATGATCCGTATCATTCCATATCACCACAAAGTCAAACTCACCATCACCAGCAGCAACAGCAGCAGCCGCCAATGAGACATGGTTATTTTGCACAACAGGTTCCTGCACAGCATCCAACAATGTATTATCAACAATCTCAAAATAGACCAGCGCCTATCTCACCTGGTGGTGGTGGTGGATCGAGAGTCTTGACATCAGTTACTCCTGGTGCTGCTTCAATGAACCAACCAGTTTCTGGTCAATTCGTCTCGGCTACTAATCCCTCTGTTCAAAGTGATTATGTTGGTGCTCAAAGTACTCCTTTACCTAAGGCATCAAGAATGCCGTACACAGATATGTCTGAGATGGGAAATCCACATCAAGTGCTTGGTGAACCTGCACCAAATTATGGGATGAATAATCAAAATATGATGGGTACCAGCCGCAGTAATCAACAGGTAATGCACCCCAATTCTATGCAGGTTTATCGTAGCAATATTTCTCAGCGCAATGATCATGTAAGTGTTGTTATCATTCAGTATTTATCAATTGTTCTTATAGACATCTTTAAATGTTATTGAATGGCAATTTATTTTTTATGCAGTAGATATTGAATCACTCAATTATTAGCACATTAACATGACTGTCAAGGAACTTAGCTCTAAGTTCCTATTGTAACGAAGACTCTCTGAACCGATAATTACTGTGTACTTGTCTCGACTTCAACTCCAAAACACCAGTGGTTGTAAGAAGGAAGTTGAATTGTTTGGCAGTTAAAGTAAAGACAATGCAGGTCTATAAACAAATGTTTTATGCAGAATTATAGAGTACTTTTATTCGTATTCTTTCGTCTTATTCGAACTTGTACACGATCGAACCATTCGCGCCTTCGAGTTGCCCGCCAATCGCTACCAAGGTCAATGTTCATATACCTTGACAATGACCGTTCATTATTATTCTTGTTTTTACTATTCTTTGGTTCTCATAATTTAATGTCGCTCTAATTCATTTTGTAATAAATCCGTATTTGGGTATGTGCAAAGTTACATTGTCCTTTAGTGCATGTTTCATACAGTTTTTGGTCAGTACTCATATGCGATGTATACATGTTTGTACACATATACTTAAAATATTATTCATCTTTATTTACACCTAGCCTACACCAATGAATCCTTATCGTCATACGGATATTATTACTTCATCTTCTCTGGGATCAATAGATAATAATTCAGTGATTTCAGACATACCTCGGACACCATCTGTTGCTGGTCTTGAAGAAATTGGATTTGAGCCGCCTATCATAGTCAGCCGTCTTGCAGCTAAAGAGAAACGATACGCTCCAGCTACCAGTATGAATTTACTGACAACGTCTACCTATCAAAATGATCAAATTGTTGATCAACAACGTTTTGACAACACTGGCAATTCAGGTGCTGCTGCTGCACTCGGTGGAAGTAGTAGTAGTAGTAGTGATGCTACAAATTTTCTATATAGAACAAATTCCGAAGGTATTTCTTTTTTCTTTTCTTGTTTGCCGTTTTGTTAGTCATGTTTAAGTAATCTTTGGATTGTTATAATTCACTGATTTTGTCTGGAAAAGATTCCATCCTTATTCCGTACATGTATCATAAAGGGGTCGATTGATTGATGATTTCTCAGTCAAAGAATATCACTTGTTGTATCATTCCATAAGAGATTGAAAGAGTCTAATCGACTCGGTCCCTATGAAAATCATTTTGAGTATAATGTCAATGATTTCAATTCGCTTAAGTTCCTGCGATGTAGAGATCAGTAATCCATTGCGCTTTTACATGATGATGATGTGAGGTGGTGTTTTGCTGTGCTACTAGTATTAGATTTTTCAAGTTTTGATTTTGACCTTGACATTCATTTCTAACAAACTGAGTTACTTTCATGTGATTCCTGCAGGTTGTTAGTGTTTTTCTTTTCCTTCACGTTCCCCAGTGGAACATAGGGCTTCAAGCTAATGGCTTGAAGTTTCTGTAGCAGTGTTTATTTTATAGGATGGGGTTGCTAGCCTCATGCCCAACCTTTCCTCTTCACCAGCATTATTTCTGGCTTAGCGAGGTAAGGGATTGCGTCTGTGGCCGGGGATTGAACCCCGGACCATGTGCATGGTAGGCGAGCGTCCTAACCGCTATGCCACCGACGCACAGGTTGTTAGTGTACATCATCATACTTTGTTGTTTGCTTTTTTTTTAACTTGAGGAGTTGTCTTCAAGTGTTGATTTGCAAGGATTTTATTGATTTCAGATTACATCATGAGCTGAGCTGATGATATCAGTTAAGGAGAACCACTGGAAATCAGTGAGCACTGAATAGCTATTTCATCCGGGTTTAGTACTCTTCAGTAGTAGGTTAGACAGTCAACAGGCTTATCCTCTCCTTGGGTTTGATCTCTAGTAGTAGGATCGTGGATGCTTGTTGATGTATACTTGTAAAGTGTAAGGAGTTATGTTTACTGTGAGGTGTTATTTAATATTTCTGTGATTGTTTTCTTAATTTTGTCAATAAATAAGAACAACATGAATTCACTCTCGAACTGTGTTGTGGGATTCAATCGTCGATATGAGTTGAAAATTTAAGGCGTGTTCCAGGATTGTTTTTGTTATCGTACATCTTTTTAACACAATTTTGTTATTATTTGTCAAAATATACTTTCAAAAAGTGTCTTTGCGAATATATATGCACAGGCAGTTAATTGTTAAATTATATGATTAGAGAGTGTTAATAATTTTCAATAGTTGGTTTGTAAGGATTAGTTTTGTTTTTACGAGTTGATCACGGATTGATATCAGTTAGAGAACCATTGGAAACCAGGGATTACTGGACAGCTTCTGTTTCATCCTAGTTTGGGAATCGTCGGCAGTACGCACCCATTGGGGTTCGAACCCAGGACCTTCCGGTTACAAGGCAAACTCGTGTACCATTCAACCACTGGGACCCGATTCAGTGACTGAATGGTATACGACCTTGTCTTGTAACCGGGAGGTCCTGGGTTCGAAACTTGGTGGTGAGTGCATACTGCCAGTGATTCCCAAACTAGGATGAAACAGAAGCTGTCCAGTAATCCCTGGTTTCCAATGGTTCTCTAACTGATATCAGTCCGTGATCAACTCGTATTAATAATTATCTTAATATTATTATTATTACTACTACTATTGGTATAAAATATCCTAAAACTTAGCATTACTTTCATGTTAATGTTTCTTTTGATGCTTTGTGCGCATTCACATTTTCCTTTTTTCTTTTAAAATGAATTTTGTCCTAGAAAAGTGAATTCACTTGCCGAGTAAATTCCTCGTAAGTGGTGATGGCGGTTGTTGTTGTTGTGGTGGTGGTGATGGTGGTGGGTTACCCCTCGCTTATCGCTTTACTTCTGTGTCGTCTCTATTTGGTTGATTATTTACTATTTGGCTGAAAGTCTGTTTGCCTATCCCCTCATCTCTCTTCATCATTCAATGTTGTTTGGTTTGTTCTATTATCTTAATGTACTTGTGCGTTTGCGTGTGCGTGTATGCTCTGGTTATTTTTCTATATTCCCCTAAGTAACTGAAGTGTGTGAAGACAATGTTGTCACTGTCAAGTGATGATTAATTTTATATGTTTATTTGTGTTTGCTCTTCCCCATATATATTTATTCAGTTTTGTATGTTAAATGTTCCCCCCCCCCTTGGTTTCTTGTTTCATTCAGTTGTTGGTGTGTTGTAATTGGATGATTATATAGCATGACTGACAAATGTAAAAGTCCTATTGTTTACTATTGTCGTCATTATTATTACTATTATTACTATTAGTAGTAGTATTAGTCAACTACATATAAATGTTGTTTTAGTCAATTTCATCACTTGAAAGTTTTATAAAATGCATGTATTACTTTTCAAATTCTAGCCGCCGTATCAAGAACACAATCGAATCCATTGAACACATCTCCTTCAACCACTTGTATATTAAATACTCCAGTATCTGTTTCATCTAACCTGGATACTGCTACTGCTACTACAACTCATTTGGATGAAGTAATAGCTCATGTTGTATCAGATGCTGCAGCTTATGCTGATAAATCTAAACATACTGTAACCGAAATTCACTCTTCTTCGACGTCGTCTTCTGTTTCTAATAATAATAATATTAATCAATCAATTACTTCTCAATGTTTCGCCTCTCTACCGCATTGTTCAGCACCTGTTCATTATACTTCACCAAATATTGTATGGTCTAATTCTAATCGTTTTATTATTAATACTGGAACAACCACGGCACCATATCGTATTCCTTCTTATTCTGATAATCAACAATTTTCTAGCACATCGAAAAAGTTATCGTCATATTTTGAAAATGTGCCTATATCTTCTTTATCAAGTGGCTGTTCAGTTGACAATAACAACAACAATTCTACACAATTACTGCCATGTCTGCCTTCTTCACAATCATTGAGTTTATCATCTGAATCATCACAGATGCAAGCACATCATGGCGATCATCATCATCAATATTAACAACAACCACAGTTATTAATTTCACCTCTACTTTTTTGTGCCATGAAGTAAATTTGAATCTCGAAAACATACACACACATACTATCAAACAATGTTCAATAATTTCAACAAGAAGTAAATTTATTCAATTTGAAAACCGTTGATCTACGTAAACTGTAATGTAATGTATTCGTTAGTGATGCGTGAGTTCTCTTTATTATTATCATTATTATTGTTCCCTTGAGTTCCTAGTGAAACATAGGGCTTCAACTACACGTCTCCACTTGCTTCTGTCTTCTGCTGTACTTTTCACCCGCATCCATCTTAGTCCATGCTGTTTCAGTTCCTCTTCACACGATCTCCTCCATGTCACCCTTGCACCGACGTCCCACTCGCCACTTCCCTTTCGGGTTCCACTCGAGCACTGGCCTGACGCGCGATGACACCCAACGGCCTCCTCAGCGAGTGAGTGTCCAATCCATCTCCTCTTTCCCCTGTATATTTGTTGAGCGATTGGTTCCTGTTTTGTTTGTTCCCATAGTTTCTTGTTGGTGATTCTTTCCGGCCGGCCATCTGATCTTCAGTATAGAGCGAAGACAGTTGTTGATGAAGGTCTGCAACAGGCTGTTGGAAATATTCTTTGTGACCCGCCAAGTTTCTGATCCATCCGTATAGAAGAACTGACTGACTTGACGTCGTTTGTATTGAAAATCCGAATTTTGTTGTTGATGTTGAGTGACGGAGATTTCCAGATTGGTTTCAGGTTGATGAATGTGTTTCTCGTCTTGCCGATTCTCAATTTGACGTCCTCGTCCATTCCTCCTGTAGTTGAGACAATACTCTCTAGATAAGTGAATGAAGTAACCTCTTTCAAATCCCTCCCGTTGATGGTGATTGGCGCTGGATGTTGTTGCTGTTGTTTCTTGGTTGTTTATTTTCATAACCTCCGTCTTGTCTATGTTCACCTGGAGTCCTGTCTCTTTGAGATTAACTAATTTATTATTTATTTTATTCCTTTAAGTTCCGAGTGGAACATAGGACTTCAAGCCTAGAGCTTTGAAGTTTCGGTAGCAGTGGTGTTTATTTTTACTGGGTGGAGTTGATAGTCTCACGTTCAACCTTCCCTTTTTACGTGTCATACTACCTGCTTAGCATGGTGAAGGGCTGTGTTGATCGGGGATCGAACCCCCCAGACCATGTGAGGCGTGGTAAGATTGTTCACTTTGAGCTGAAACTCTTAGCGCTGATTTCCTGATAGTCATAGTATAAATCAAGATTCACTGGTATACGTGCTCGACTTTCTGTCTAACAGATGATGGGTCTTAAGTGCAGCGCTACTGACCGAAGTTTTTCTAATCAGGTGGTATTTGCTTCTACTATGTGATTGTTAGGTTGGAAGTTGAGGAGACTCAATATACATATTTTTTTATTTATTTTGATTTACAGCTTGATTGCACACCGTATTTTCAGTACAAGTGTGGAATTTTCAGCATGGATATCGGTAGCCCAAATTCAGGCCGACCATAGATATCGGGTGTGCGCCGGACCATGTGCATGGTTGGCGAGAGTCCTAACTACTGTGCTACCGACGCTTATGCATGCTGTTTTCTACAGTGTGACATTTTCAAAAATTGATTTTCGAGATCTCTGTTTAAAATTGCCTGATGGTCCATATGCATAGTAACTGATCTGTCGTAGTATTTTGTTATTATGTATAACAAAATAATTGAGAACACTTCGTATCTTAAGAGAAGTTTATTATCTGGCATCAGAGTTATAGATAGTGATGGTTGCATTGTTTCCTTCTGGGTCTCATTACCACTTATACAGTTTTACAAAATATTTTGACGATCAAACGTTGGTATTTGTATCCCTCTCATATATCTGTTGTAGGTTATCAAGTGATGAGAGAGAAATTTTAATTTTTGGAAAATAGCAGTATTACGAGATCTCACCATTTATTGTTATCACAATAGACAGACATAAGTTTTATAAAAGAAAAGAAGGCGTTCAGCGACGAGACTCTTTTCGGCGAATTCATTCACTAAGCTGTACAGTCGCATTTGTATACAACTTTGTTTGTGTGTGTATATTAGATTTATAAAGTTTAGATAGTTACGTAATATAAGTATTATTTGGCTTGGAAACAAACGTTAACTAGATAGAAAATAAAATAAAATCGATTAAGTGAATTGGATGACGTAATACAATTGAATAGGATTCAGAGTAGGTCAGGTTGGCAACAGTGTTAGTGAGTGGTGGTTAAAATTAAATAAGGGTGGGGGTAGAGAATAATACAGTTGAAAATTAAGTAAGTTAATCGAATGACGTAATATAGTTGACTAGAAATTGGATGTGGGTCGAGTTAGCAACATTGTTAATGAGGGTAGAGATTACAAAAGGGTGGGGTAGAGGATAATACAAATGAAGATGTGATATAATAAAATGCAAAAGACAAAATAATACAATTAGTAAGACTGAAATTAAGAAAGATTACGTCCATTGCAGATTTAATGAATGAATTTCTTTTGTATGCAGAGTTCAGGATTTAGCAGATGAATTGCCATTGCTTCTGCGATGTGGAGAAGTTTGATCTGTACACTTTTAGCAAGATTGCCTTGTATTCTGTAGATAACTTTATTTGTGGTTTGACTTGGTGTCCAGAGTCGATCAAATGTTCAACGATCGAGCTGCAGGGGCATAAATGCGATTGTACAGCTCAGTGAATAAATTCGCTGAAAAGAGTCTCTTCGCTGAACACCTTCTTTTTTTTATATGACTGAATGGAGTTACTTAAACATAAGTTTGACTGAGAGAATTAATGAGAAGTATTTGTGATTTTTAGAATTTGGAAGATGACGAGTAGTGAATACATTTGAATCAATCATTGTGAACTACTTGGAGTTATGTGACCAACCAACAGTCCCCACCACCACCTCCTAGTATGTCGGAGACCTAACTCCCTGAGTGTCACAGACTTGAGTTGACTCCATGTTTTAATCTCAGTTGTCAAGTACTCATTTACTCTCTCGGATAGAATCTTCCGGTGGAACATTTAGCCACTGAGGTTTTGTGCCAGTTATGTGTCAGTTGGTATGCAATAAAAATCACTGATGCAAAACTCTTCTTATTTTGAAAGGAATGATTACTGAACCAAGAATATTCTTTTCGATAACATCATCATCAGGTTTTACAATTATATATATCCACAATAATGAGAGAATGATTGTTATTGACAACATTAGTGTTTTTGTTTTTTAAAGGAAACATCGATTCACTGACATCCCAATCGCAAAAGTTATTTGCAAATAGATTGTTAATATTCAAGTTTTGGTTTACAGGGATTTCATTGGTTTCAGGATTTCATCATGAACTGACAGGGGTTAGAGGAAAACCTGCAGGGGGTACTGGACAGCTGTCTCGTCCTAGTTTGACACTCTTCATCAATACGCACCCACTGAGGTTCGAATCCAGGACCTTCTGGTTACAAGGTGACCTCATAAACCATTAAGCCCACTGGGAGCCGATAGATAGTTTAATAGACTATAGTCTAAAATATATGTATATGGTAATATGTATAATTGTAACAGTAAACTGAACACCACTATTACAAAGTAAATGATTATGAGTCACAATAAATTTATAGTAATGAATAAGGCATTAAGAAAACAAATTTCACGAGATGATACCATTTCGTAGTTTCTTTACAACCACTTTACAACTAACATGGTCAACAATAGTAAAATAAAGTTCATGACAATTACTCAGTTAAATAAAAAACAAAAGTACATACTAATGACCAATCATATTTAGATAGGTCATGTAGTCCATGGTAGGCGAAGACTGAAGTCTATTGTTTTTTGTACACACAGTTTAGGCTGTATGTGATTAATCCAAAGTGCTTCCATCACCTTCAATAACCTTGAATTAGAGTTATGTGAAATAATTGTGAAACAGTCATTAATATTGGTTTTGTGACCTGACATTAATAAGTGTTTTGCAATGGATGATGCTGGATTTCTATTCAGATTACTGGCATTGCGATTTTCTATATGATTTAGTAGCCATTTTGGAACATGTTCTTTCCGACGACATTGGAACATTCTGTTGGTTCTACCTATATAGGTGTCACCGCAGCTGCAGGTGAACTTGTAGATACAGTTTGAAGTAGATTCCACAGAATTTCGTCCTTTAATCGTAGGTACAGGGATCGAAAATGTTCGGCAATGTGAAGGAAAGAGATGCGGCGTAGAATGTGCGTTTGATGGCTGACCGAAGTCTTTGAGCTGTCAACTGCATAATCTGGACACCCTTGAATGGTAGGTTAATAAAGATAGCTTTCTTTGGTACAGAAGCTGTCTTTTCGAGATGTGGTCTTTCTTTACTGTGACAAGTGATAAAGTTTTCCGGATAACCATTAGCTAATAAAACTGAATGTATATGTCGAAACTCATCCATCACCGTGTCACTCGTGCATATTTTTCGGGCCCTTGAGAACAAACATTTCACTAGGGAACGTTTATACTGAATAGGAACAAAACTGGTAAAATGAAGATATTGTCCACTCCATGTCTGTTTACGAAAAATAGATCGCTGAATCGTTCCATCATCTCTCCTGGTCATTGTAATATTGAGGAAACCGAGTTTGTTATTCGATTCGAGTTCGGAAGTCACTCGGATATTTGGATGAATATGATTAAATAGGGTAATAAAGTTTTCAATAGATTTACTATTATTACCAATAATGAGGGTATCATCTACATAACATTTATACTGCATAAATTCTCCAAGCATTTGTCTCTCCAATTTCGACATGAAAATATCTGCTAACAGGGGCCCAAGAGGGCTACCCATCGCAATACCATCGATTTGTTTGTATGCCTTTTCTTGAAAGGTGAATCTAATATTTTCTGCACACATTAGGATGATGTCTCTGATGTAAGTTACAGGAATAGGTAAGTTTATCTCATTGCTTGTGATGTAATCGCAAATGAAATCAACAGTTTCATTAAGGCGAACAT